TCCCGTGTCCCCTGTCCTCTGTCCTGAGTCCTCATCCTCTGTCCTGTGTCTCCTGTCCTCTATCCTGTATCCCCATCCTCTGTCCTGTGTCCCTCCATCCTGTTCTTTGTCCCGTGTCTTGTGTCCTGTGTCCCCTGTCCTGTGTCCCCTGTCCTATGTCCCCTGTCCTCTGTCCTGTGTCCCCTGTCCTGCGTCCTCTGTCCTGTGTCCCGTCCCATGTCCTCTGTTCTGTGTCCCCTGTCCCCTGTCCTGTGTCCTATGTCCTCAGTGTCCTCTGTCCTGTGTCCTATGTCCTCAATGTCCTCTGTCCTGTGTCCCATGTCCTCTCAGGGAGCTTGTCTCAGATGTCAGCCCGCCCTCCCCAGGCGCCCTCAGTCCTCTCATTGTCACGTGAAGGAACTGATAGAACCCCTTCTTTAAAAAGTATTTAAAACTATTTTTTATGCTTTTCAGACTCATTTTGCTGTATGAAAATTGAAATATAGAAGTTCCAGTATTAAGGCTTCAGGGCCTACTGTCCAGCACAGGGAACGATGTTCAATGACTTGTAGTAACCTGTAATGAAAAAGATTGTATACTATGTATAACTGAGTCACTGGGCTGTGCACTGGAAACTTAACACTACACGGTAAATAAAAAAATCAGAAAAAGTTCAAAAGTATATAAAGAAACAAATAATTATGTTTCTGTGTAAAAGGCAGCAAGTCCTACTGCAGTCCCACTTCTGATCAGTTTCAGGATGTTACCGTCAAGCCCAGAGCCATAGGGAGGCTTCGACTGTGTGGATCCCCCACCTGCCGTGCACAGGCGGCCCTCAAAGAGGACGCAGAGGCTCCCCCGTCACTGCGTCCCTTGGGGATGGGAAGGGTGGCTTCGTGGTGAGACACAGGGAAGCTGGGCCATGGGCCCCTGGCCTCCTGCTCTCCCCGTTGGGCCTTGCTTCCCCTTCTCCAGGTCGGGGGCGTGGTGGGCCTCGCTGATACTTTATTACGAGCACCTCACATCTGTGGGTCTGTTTAAGGGTCCTCTTCCCATAGCCTGTGCTGCCCACCCCTACCCCCCCGGAAACCCAGCAGACCGCTAGCCTTGACCTTCTGACCTCCAGCCCCTGCCCCCCCCCCCCACTGAGATACCCTGTGGCCATTAGTCGTCCATTTCAGCTGACCATTTTTATGTGTATTTTAAATCATGTCTTTGAAAATAGCATCATTGTGAAGAGTGCTCCTCCTTTACGCGCTCGCCCAGCCCCTCAGGTAGGTGGGGGTGAACCCAAGAGGGGCTGAGTGAGTCCTCAGGTCAGGGCTGCCGGCCCCAGATTCTCACTGGAGTCCTTTCCATCTCCTGGCTTTGAGACCAGCCTTCCTGCCGTCTGGGGTGCGGTTCATCACATTGTCGACTGTCAGATTCCTGTTTCTTCTCTGAATCCTACTTTTTCGAAACTTTATGTGAACCATAGATTCTTTCTGGTTGCTGGCTGTTTGAGCTCCAAACACTTGGCTGACCTGATCAGGACTGGACAGCCTCAGTCCACCCTGGAAACCCCTTACAAATGTGGTCAGGTCAGCTTCAACCCCTTTTAGCTTTGTTAACGCCTGAATCAGAGGAATAGCAGAGCGTCTTTCTTCCCTTTTCTCCGCTCAAATGACAGGACCTAGGTTTTACGCAAAAGCATATCAAGACAGACAAATAGATGTTGTATAAAAAATAAAATTATGCTCAGGATCTCCAACAAAGAGAATATTTTCCATCGTCATGAAGATATTACTTCGTAAATATCTCTGCCTTTTTACTCTGATACAGGCATATTCACTATTGAATTACAGTTTTCCACACAATCGTTACATTTTAGCACCTTATGATATATGAAATTTTAAAATGAAGTGAAATTTTGCCATTAAAAGAATTACTCTTTTTAATACAGAAATTAGTAGTTTTACTTTAATAGCATTTAAAAAGGCATGATTGTGTTTTATAGCAACTAATTTAGAAAGACTGCGCTCAACCAGCATAAGAAAAGTAGAAGTAATGGTTTTCTTTTAAACATTTTTCTGACCTTGAGTGCTCTAAACAATACCGAGCCTCAGAGGTCTGTCTTGATTTTAATTTATTAACTGTGAGAATGTCTGACAAAAGGCAGGAAACTGCCTGTGTTTTCTGCCAATACTCACACAGATTTTATATTAAAAAAATAGTGTTTACTGTAAACAAGAGGGAGGACGATGCTGACTGCCTTTGACTTGTACCAAATATAGATGTTTTAATAGTAATGACTGTATGAAGTTGAACAAGCTTTCACTATAGTTACCAGATAATATTTTTATCAGTTATTATTGTTACATGTAACAGTTTCAGTGAAGGATGTCAGAAACGCAGGGTTTGTCAGTGTGAAACTTTAAATTCAGTGCAAAGTGAATGACATGAGTTGAGTGACAGGTTCTTCGTAAACTGAGATCTATCCTAAAACCAAAAGGAAGCCTTTGTGGTCATGCTTCTTTGGCATAAGTTTGGAACTACGTCAGGTAACCTGTCGGAAGAGAGTGCCCTTATGTACTTGCTTCCATAATTATGACTTCTTAATATTTATTGTCATCTTGGCATTCCCAAATCCCCTGCTCTTTTGTAGAAATTAACTTTTTAATGAAGTCAGAGGAGAAGGTCGATAATATATTTCAGTCAGTGCAGAATGTTCTGTTGGCTTTGCTAAATGAAAATTGATATCTATTTATCTTCCTTTTAAAGGTCACTGCCTGCACTTTTCGCTTACAGATTTAGGGGCTATTGCTGCTGTTTTAATAGTATTGAGGTTCATAGAACAATCAGTCTTTGTAGTTCGTACAAATTAATATTGCAAAAGGAAAGCAATTTAGAATTCTTCCTTAATAAACGTTATTGCAAGTCATTAGAGTTTCATGAAAGCACAGAGACATATGGGAAAGTCCCAGCAGAATAATTAGGAAAATCTCATATAGACAACATGCCATTCAGGTCTTCACGGAAGACTTCAGACAGTAACAGCCCAGGCGCGTTAAAGTGATTTCAGACTTGAAGTAAACGAACGTTGTGTTTGAACTTGAAAATATTTACAGTAGGTTTTGTTACCAGTATAATTATTGTGTTTTCTTCACTTGTGCTTCATGTTTCTTCTTTAACCCACATTTTTATTCATGTTTATTTGCCCATGTGTGTTTACTGATAGAATCATAGCCTTACAGTTTTTTAACTGAGTGCTGCATCAAATTAATGAATTCTTGTGTAGATTTTTCACCTTTACATGTCTTTTTCTTCTAGTCTTGAGCCAGTGTTTGTCCTGATACCATTTTAACTGGCATGGAACCTAGTGTCTTAGAAAGTAACTTTTTACAAAGCTCTGGTAGAAATTAATCATTATTAGAAGCATTATAAAAATTCTGTGGTTCAGTAGAAATTTGTCATTATTGTTGCATTTTTTTTCCTTGGCTCCTTCTGGCTTAGTGTGCGTTGGTTCTAGTGACATAACCTCTTTTCACTGTATTGAGCCTCATAAGAGCACCTGTCAGGAAAGCTGCTGGTGAACCTGGAACTGAAATCATACCCACCAGCACAGTCTGTAAATGCTCCTTAATTTCAAGACCTTTAAACGTCATGTATGATGACCCTCAGACCGAGATGGGGGTCTTCACTGGGCAGTATGCCTCCAGCTCACCTTTTTTTTTGAGAAATAAACATGGTCAGATTTAGGCGAATTAGAAGAAAACTAGGCAAAGAAAATATGATTTATCCTATCAATTAATCGGTAAATTGCTGTGATAATGAGAGTTTGGGGAGACTCTGTATTCTGCATCTGGAAAGGGTCCTTGTATCTCTGTTTCTGTCCCATCTCCCGGCCCGTGTCCTCGCCCCTGGCCCACCTCCTGCCCTTCAGATGTGGGTCCGTTACTGCACTGTAACACTTGTACAGGAGGTACTATGGGTTTTAACAGAAGGTTTTTTTTTTTTGCATATAGAAATTGTGTATTTTCATAATCAAAGTTTTAGACCAACTTAAAAACATTCACGTTGTCTTTTACTTTCTTCTGCTTTTGTCTAGGTTACCATTTCTTCTTAGGCTAATGAATTTCGATATATATGTATACATATATTTATATATACCATTTAAACCTTCCATAATAATTCAGTCTATTTCAAAAGGTTTATTACAGTTTTTAAAGTATTAAAAGCAACGTAGGCCAGTGTGAAAGTTACAAAGCGTCAGGTTGAGGTAGAGAGTATTCATAAATTCTTGATGTCTGGCGCACCTGTGAAATCCGAGACAGCTCATCTTATTTACCTTTTTTTCCTGTGATTAACTCAGGCACAGAAGGCTTGGGGTTCAGCATCACTTCCCGGGACGTCACAATAGGAGGCTTAGCCCCAGTTTACGTGAAGAACATCCTCCCCAGAGGGGCCGCCATCCAGGACGGCAGACTCAAGGCGGGGGACAGGCTCCTAGAGGTGAGCGGCCGCCCTGCATTGGGCTTCTCCCCTGGTCCCGGGAAGGTTCCGTTCCCAAGGGTCAAATGCATTTTAACCTTTGCAGAAAATACTAAATTAAATGATAGATTTTAACAGAAGGATGCATCTGAAAACAGTGTATTCCTGCTTCTCTTTTCTATGTTTCCAACTTACTTGATGAGAAATGGCTTCTCATTTAGTTTACCCATAAATTTTTAGTTACTCGAACATTTGGTTTATGAGATAACATAACACTCTATCGTGATGTAAGTCCAGTGTCTATTAGATTACATTTCTGGATGGCTTTAAATTCATGTCTGGCAATGGAGAAATGTTATCTGCTGGGGAGTCAGAACAGAGACAAATGAAGTTAAAGGAAAACAGTGTGTCTGGGTGAGGGCATGAGGCGATGTTGAAAGGCCAGCGTGGGGAATGGATTGAGAAATAAAAATCAAATGTCAGGAAAAACAAGAAATAGTTCTCCAAAATTGCCTTACCATGCCTCTGTAGACTGGGTCTCGGTCCGTTGGTCTTTGAGGCTCTCTGCTGTACAGAAAGTCACGTGATTTCTGTTGGCATGAATGTTGTACGTATGGAAATATAGAGGAGAAAGGCTGAGAAGGAGTAGACCTTGTTTGTGGTTTTTCTTAGTGTTTTCTTCAGAAAACACAGTCTGCATTCTTACCAGCAGGGACGGTGTCCCCCGTGGTGAGCAGCGTCGGAGACCAGCGTTCCGACGGCATCGGCCTCTTTCCTTAACTTGCAGTTTCACGTGTGGCTTTGATCTTTCCGCCCCGGCTCTCCTACAGGTTTCTTGGAAAGTAATGGAACAAAGGAGTAGCTTCCAGATTTTCTCCATGTCTACATGTTGGGACCTAGATTCCTTAGTTCTTACTCTTTCCTCTTTGTTTTGTTCGTGTGATACTGTGTTTTAAAGGGAAGCCAACCTGGACTGAATGAAAGGAAAGATTTGAGTGCAAAGTGTATTTAGGGTATTGTTTCCAGAAAGGGCCTCTTGTCCTTGGGTGGTAAATGGGGAGCATTGGTCCCAGTTTTCAGCAGCAGCCTGCTGCTTCAGGGAGAGCTGCAGCTGATATGTGAGCCCAGGCATCTTTGCCTGTAAATCCAGGACAAGTCTGGCCTTTTGTCCCCCTCCTCCCCCTGCATCGCCCCCCCACTTCCCTGCATCGCCCCGCATCACCCCCTCCCTGCATCGCGCCCCCCCCCCCACCATCACCCCATCCCTCCGAGGGGAGTCACTGTATCTTTCCTTTCTCTTTCATCACAGAATCACATTCCTTGCAACACGTTGACAACTTCTGCTCTGCTCTTTGAGGAAGGGAAGGCCGGTGGCCTGTCCCTCTTCACAGCTAGGCTTTATTTTCTGTCGCTTTCGGGTGTGTTTTAATCCTCCCTTTCCAGTGTCACCTGTGGCTGTATCTGTGCCATGTTCTGTGGGCAGAAAGCTTTCCTGAGTCTCTGGCTATGTGGAAGCCTACATTATAAAAAGTAACAAGTGACTAGTTTTTTTTTTAATGATCTAGAAAGTTTTGCTCTCTTTTGAGCCTGTTATTATGAACCTTTTCCCTGCAGTCCCTCATAGTAATACATGAAGGGGCTGTATAAGCGGTTGTTAGGAGGGGAAAGGTTTCAGAATACTTTAACTGCAGGAAGATTTTGCTATTACGATGTAAATAATATACTTAGTTGCCTTAGACAAATGTTATTTTTGTGTCAAGGGAGTGACAGAGAATTCTTTTTTGAAATAAATTTCCACTCTCATTTCTCTTACGTATGTAGTGTTTGCTGATCCTGTTGTTACACTTTCTACAAAAGTGACGAGAATCGGTTGTTTCGGATCTCTCATGTCCTGCTAGAATTCTCTTAAAACTCTAACTCCTTAAAAAATCCTCTTAAAATTGAAAAATATTGAGCTGGAATACTGCTAGCCCTCCAGAAATATTATTATTTTGTAGTGATTCTTCTTCAGTATTTGCTCTTTAGGAATGAAAAATTACAATTTTTAAAATTTCAATGAGAGCTAAAATATTTTTACCAAAATATTTTTAGTGTGTTTTTACCACTCCCCATCAAAGGGGGCACTTTTTTAATTTTGTGTGAGAAAACCTTGCATTCACAAGGCCATCAGTGTATCTGAGCTCACGGCCAGTAGGTTTTGCATGAACTTGGGTTTGAGATGCATCAGTATCACGGGTCACTGGTGAGCACTGGTGGCTGTTGAGCTCACAGACAGGCACGAGGACTTGCTGCCGCCCCGGGTGTCTGCGCACCTGGCCTGCATTTGTTCAGTGGCTCCCACAGCCTGGCGGTGACCAGATCAGGGCTGAATTTACCACAAAGTGAGTTCTGACCTGTAGCAGATGCGATCCGTGCCCAGAGGAGTCTTGTCTTCAGTCACCTGTTCGCGTGGCACTGCAGCTGACAACTTTTTCTGTGTTTTAGGTAAATGGAGTCGATCTAGCAGGCAAGTCCCAGGAGGAAGTGGTTTCCCTGTTGAGAAGCACCAAGATGGAAGGGACTGTGAGCCTTCTGGTCTTCCGCCAAGAAGACGCCTTCCACCCGAGGGAACTGGTGAGTACAGTTAGAGCAGTTGAGAGGTTTCTGATGCACAGAAGCCAGGCACCTGGGCTCGCGACCCGATGGCCAGTGTTTCCTGAGACGTTTTCCAGGCAGTTTCTATATTTCCTATATCTTTCCGCCTTAACATAAGACAAGCATGCTTTTCTCATTTTCCCTCCGTTTTGGAAATAGATGTCCACAATGCTGAGTGCGGGAGGGTTTGAAAACCTGATCGCAGGGGTGTCTTCTGGGACAGCAGGTGTTACTCCGAGCACTTTCAGTTGGGCTGATCGAATACAGAGACGTTGGTTATTTCATAAGTGTCACTTCAAAGGCTAATGTTGAAAGCCTGCCATGTTTATTACATACGACACATTTTCCCGTTTCGAGTTTCCGTAGTACGTGCAGCCAAATAAAGATGCTTGCTTACCGTTGTATGAAAAGGAGGGCCTTAATTAAATAACATCATTGGAAATTAAAAGGCCCGAGATTCAGTAAGCCCCAGGGCCACTGATTACTAATACAGACATTATTTGGAACGACATAAATGAGATGAAAATGAAAAAGCATTTGTTTGCAGCCTGTTTCACCTTCTATACATCTGTCAATATATCTGTTCGATGGGGGATTTACATAGTATTGGTGCGAGTGAAATATGTGTATAAAATAGACATAGTTCTCTTGCACACTCTTCTGCAAAAAGCTGTAAGCTTCATTTATACGTAAAAATAATACAATTGGAGGAATCGCCTTTATCTTTTGTTTTGATGTAAGAAAACGGTTTTCCTTCAAGTACAAGTTGTATTTTAATTAGTTCAAAACAGATCTCTACTTGGGTCATTTTTGAACATTTGATGTGTCTTTCAGATAGCTTTTAGTTTTACCTAAATGACAATTGATCTGTATATACTGGAGTGGGTAGGTTTTTGGGACACAGTTCCCAAATTTGTCCAACAGCCCAGTTCTCTTAGGCTAATACTTCAAGTGTGGATGTGTAATGGTTAATAAAAATTGCCTTTTATTATAAAACAGAGAAATTTTAGTCATAGGACTACCCCATCCCTTGGTTACACGCACATTTACAATTTACTGTGATTTCATGGAAATTTCAGTATAGGGCTGAAAAGTGAACACTAGTGTTTTAAGTAGATTTTGAAGAAATACAAAAACTTCTTTATTTCTTTCTATTTAAAAATGTTTAATGCATTATTTCTTCATTTAAATTCCGTTTTCCATTTTCCCCCCACTGTTATCCAATTTTGTGTTTAAAATGCCACCTGATCCTAAATCTGGAATTGTCTCTATTAAATTGTAAATGAGCACTTAAAAAAAAAAAAACACGCAGCCTTCACTGTGATTCGACGAGGCTCAGCCCCTCCCGCGGTCCGGGGCTGGGTGCTGGCTGGCGTCGCTGGGCTGCCAGCACCAGGACGCTGCAGCCTTTCCCCAGCAGCTCTGTGCCAGCATCAAGCCTGCTTAGGGTTATTCAGGTTCTTCTGGTCCAATTTTGATCTTCCAGGCTTCTGTCTTTCCCTTCTGCTGCCTCCTTTTTTTCCCTCTTGGTTCTTTAATTTATTGCTTGTGAGCTTTTCATTAAGGAGTGAGCCAGTAGGCCGTCACTTTATTATTCACGTTGCAGCTGCTAGTCAAGATTTAAAAGAATAAAATTCTGAGAACTTAAAGGGGGGCATTTAAAATGATCCTTAAATCCAGTTAACAGAACTCTTTCCCTCTGTTTCTGGTGTCTGTTTAAATTCTGTGTCTAAAACAAAATACTTTTATCAATAAGTATCTTTTTCTTATAAGTCAGTCTTAGAACTATCTATGTAACAAAAGCAACTCGATAATACATGAAAAAAAAACCATTTATAACCTGTGTGATATTGTACGGTGTGATGCTTGTGGTTCAGACTGTGGTTCAGACCGTTATTATCCGGTCTAGCTATCAAATTATAATATGCCTTATAATTTAGATTTAGTTGGGAAAATTAGACAACAAAATTAGAAACAGTGCCAGGAATAAAAAAACAGTTTGGTGAGATTTGTTTTTCTCTAGATAATAAATTCAGGATGTACTGTGAATGAGCAAGTAAAAATTTACATCTAGAAAAAAATTTTTTAAACACACACACGAGATAATATAACCACATCAGTGAAAGTGTGGAAGGCAGGGTAATACAATCGCCTTCTGTATATTTTGTGGATTTGAAGAACCAACAATTTTCTCTTTAGAGTAAAGCTTTGTGTCCCTGTGTGTTGAAGATGGCTTTGGTCAGTCTGTATTTATGTTTTTCTTCAATTCTTCTAGAATGCAGAGCCAAGGCAGATGCAGATTCCAAAAGAAACGGTAAGAGCTTTGTCTTTTGCAGAATGCAGAGATGTTGGCAAGACACGTGGAACTAACTTCGTACTAATTAATTGTGAAGTTACTCGTCCTCTCTTTTCCTGGCTCACAGTAGATACTACGCAGATTTATTAAATTCCCAAGTGATCTTACCTTAGGGCGACTTATTACTGCTGCCCCAGAGAATACGTTGTGCTTATTTCTGATCAGACAGGGGTAAGGAAGAGACATGAACAGCTTTCCCCAATCACCTGCATAACGAGAGGGACCAAAGGGGATGCACTTAGTGATTTGACATTAAATAGACAAAGGACATCGTGAATTGTGAAGTGCTACGTTATCAGTGGCAATAAAAATGAAAGTAAAGAAGAAAACTCAATTCAAGCATAGAAAAACTAGGGAAGGCCTAAAAGCACAATAAAAATGTATCACAGACAGGAAAGACAAAATGCAGCAGCGATTTGGCTAAACATATTCATTGTCCTAGTAACTTACATCTAGCAAGGGGTTAAGTCTTATTTAACAGAAGTAAGTTCTCAGAGCTTAGATTAAAATGCAGAAAGAGTTGTGTCCTGTTTGGAAGACAGATCCTAATACCGGCTGAGGATAAAGGAGCAGGCTGAGTTCCAGCAGGCAGCACTGACATGGTGACGTGAGGATTGCATCTCTGAACTCACCTCTGGTGTGGACGCACTGCCTGGGGTGAAAAGGGATGGAGCTTCACGTTGATACCTGATGCCGCCCAGTAGAAATTCTAACAGGGTCTTTTTAGGCATTTAAGCCTTCATTAAGCACAGAAACATACAGGTCTCACACCCTTATGAGCAGAATGAAAATTCAACAAACCACATCCACAGTGGGTGATGCTAATATGTATTTTTCCAAAATTTGTCATATTAGGTAGACAAAGGATATGAAGAATTTCAGTAACATAATTAACACTATTAATAACATAATTTGGTTTTTCATTATACAGTCACACACAGACAACTTTGAACCTAATAAACAAACAAAATGTTATTTTCGAATGTTGCGTAATTAACAAAAATGGATGACTAATCAGACCTCAGAGGAAAATCAGTAAACTGCCTTGAGACTATTACACATTTGTAAGGTTAGGTTGTGGGCAATTCATAGCTTTCAGTTTTTCACGCATCAAATCAATAAGTCTGTAATAGTTAAACAAAGTCACAATGCTGTATGTGTGTGTGTGGTAGGGGAAATTAGACAAAGTGATTCTAAAAAATCAAGTGGGGCACAAGAATGACTTATTCTATTTTAAAGGACAGTAATGATGGCAAAATGTACTGTGAAGCCAAAATACTTAAAATAGCATGATGCTGTCACAGGAATAGACAAATAGGTCATTTCAGCACATCGGCAGTGGTGGAAGCAGTCCTGGTGTGTGCGCATGTATGTGCGCGTGTGTTCAGGACGGCATTTCCCAGTTGTGGTAAAGAGCAGTTTGCTCAATGTCTAGAACAGTCAGCCATTCACTTTAGAAGGTCAGATTCCTTTTTCTCACCAGACACCCAAATAAACCCCAGTTGATTATGAAATTAAACCTTAGAAGTTACCAGAAAGTATTGAGAAAAATCTGTGACAACTTCTTGGTTAACTCTGGATGGTGAGCACTTGTCCACTGATGTGACTAAGCCCGAGTGTCGTAAGAGGAAAGGTTGTAGACTTGTTTGCGCACTAACTTATCTACCGTGTACACGGTAACCTCACCGTGGAGCGGCTGCGCATCGAAGGTGTACATGGGAGGTATTTTCCAACGGGATCCTTGGGTGAAGAACTCCTTTGTTGTTTGGCATCTTAACATCATAGAATGTTCTGGAAAAGTGAAGAACTTCACACATAAATTGTATCCGTGCCTGAGACGGCCTGAGATGGAAAATGATGCGTAAGGAGAGGCGTCGGTCCCGGTGAAGAGACGGAGGGTCAGCAGCTTGGGACTCTACCGGGAGGGCCAGAGTCCTCCTCCTGCACTGCTCGCCCCCAAGGGCGTGGGTTCCTGCCGGCTCGCTGGCACCAGTGGCGAGTCTGTTACCTGAGCGGAAGGGACAGTGTCCACACAAGTGTGTCTGGCTTCCAGTTTCAAGGGGGATTTTTTTTTTTTCTGATGAGGGTTTTCCAAGCTAAGTAAGGAAGTCAGGAAGTTTTAATATTTTTCTAGACTTTTTCTTTCCAGTTTCTTGTTCTTTCTTTTGCCTTCTTGCCGCTGTGCCTGTCTGTGCGGCACCATTTCGGGCTGTCAGAGGCTTTGTGTTCAAATTATAATTTAAAAGTTGACTTGGCGGGGTCTCTGCCTCCCTCGATACCTTTTGTTGGCAAGTCATTAAATTCATTCAAGTCACGAAATCCTCTGATACCATGTAAAGATTCTGGTGACTGCAAGCACCTTGGAACAAAAGGGCCTGAGCTCTTGATCATCACAATGAACCCTAATGGGTGAAGTCTGAGGGACTGTTAAAAGGTCACTTAGGTAAATGCGGAGGCCTGTTCCAATGGCTGGTGGACCTTCTAAGTGTCTGACACATAGGTTTCCTGAAAGTCTTCTCAGTGTCACTTTAGTGAATGAGACTGGGTGACCAGAATCCTGAGTTGTAGGTCATCCACTCAAAATTGGACCGAAAGCTGAATTATTTAGCAGAGGCCCAAGGTCTCTTCCTCCAAGTCCTAAACGAACCCCTTTGCCTTTCACAAGGGAACTCACTTGGTAGCTTATCCGTGTGGCTGTCCAGGTTGGACAGGACAGTATATGGGTGTATTATCCGGGTTTTCTGGAGACACAGGACCAGTAGGAGGTGTGTGTATATATACAGACAGGGGTGTATTGTGAGGACCTGGCTTGTGTGCTTATGAAGACGGACAAGTTCCCATCTGCAGGATGGGCCAGCGGGCTGCAGCCAGGAGGGCCCATCGCACAGGGGGCATCTGCCGGAGAACCCCGCCTTGCGGGGGAGGCCTGTCTTCCTTTCCTGTTCTGTTCTTTAACTGACTGGACGAGGCCCCCTCAGTTATGGAGAGCAGTCTGTTCTATTCAGAGCTCACATATTTAAAAGTTAATCTCATCTAGAAAAATACCTTCCCAGTGGACAGAATTACCACCACAGTGGAGCCGTGAATTCAACGGCAGGCTCTCAGGCCTGGACTGACTGAAGTGCCCGTTTCTTGTTTGGACTTCGAAGGCCTCTGCAGGCCTGCCTAGGAGACGCCCCGGTGAGATCCATGTAGGAGTGTAACTGCGTCCTATACGGATTCAGAGCCCCTGGGTGCATGGAGGGTGATCGGAGATGAAAGCAGACCATGTGGGTATGATGTAAAACATGCTTACGTGTCAGGAATTCAACACGCATTCCAAGAAGGATCATGGGATCCCACTATGGGAGCTGCAGGGATGCACTGAGGAGTCTGGGGGAAACTCCCTGAAGGTCAGGAGGCATCTTGATAGGCCAGCGTCAGAAAGGGCGTGGCTGTGACTGGGAAAGGCCATGAGCTGTCAGTCAGCGTGGTCGTCGGTCGGCCCATTTGACGGTGGTGGTGGTGGGTGTGAAGGCTCTACCCGCCGTGTAGACCTCTACGGTCCCGTGTACCAGAGGGTCAACGTGCTTAGGAATGAATTCAGCCAAGGAGATGAACGCCTTGTACACTGAACACTGTGAGACACTGATGAGAGAAGTTGAAAAAGACACAAATAAGTGGAAATATAGTCCATGCTCACAGATGGGAAGAATTAAGATTGTTAAAATATCCATGTTACCCAAAGCTATCCCCAGATTCAGTGCAGTTCCTGTCAAAATGCCAATGGCATTTTCCACAGAATAAAACAAAAAAACAAACACCTAAAATGTACTGGAACCACAAAAGACTGTAATAGCCAAAGCAGTCTTAAGGAAGAGCAGAGCTTGGCGGTGTCACAATTCCTATGTTGTAGTCTATGTCACAAAGCCACTGTAGTCAGAAGTACGATGTCGGCATAAAAACAGACACACAGAACAGAGCAGGAGAGCCCAGAAGTAAGCCACGCACACCCGGCCCGTCAGCCGGGACAGAGGAGCCCAGAACACGCAGGGGGGAAGGAGAGCCTCCTTAGTAAATGGAGATGGGGAGGCTGGGCGGTCACGAGACGGAGGCGGAAGCTTGTCTCCATCTTGCACAGCGGGCTTTGTGCATCACGGAAAATAATGCCTGTTGACAGTAGAACATTCGGAAGAAAATGAAAATCACCTGAATTATGTGATGTCATTGCTGCCGTTTTGATGGATATTCTCCCACGATTTTCTTCTTTACCTTCTAGCTGATCTGTGTCGTGGTGAGGTCAGCGTCAGGCAGCGCGCAGGGGCTGTGCGTCAGGCTCTGGGGAGGCTGGTGTGCCCCCCACCCCTGCGGCGGCCCCTGAACAAGCAGACATGAAACAGTTTGTAAAAACGGTGTCAGGGCTCACGATGGGGGACGTGCTGGGAGTTACGAGAGCCCAGGGGACAAAACCCAGCTTCTTAGTCATAAATATTTTTCTGTCTCACTCAGTGTTGTTAAAGGCACTTTAACAGCTGATGGTATTCCATTGTGTATCTGAATCTTCTCCCTTAATGTCACATGTGAACACTGTTTTCACGTTTTTGCTGAAGTAATTAAAACAGTGAACATCTTCACAGTTTAATCTTTGCTGATGACCAGTTAGGCTTCTAGGATTTATTGCTAGAAGGAACATGTCTTGGTTAAGCAGAAGCAGGGTATGGAGGCATTTGATCAGCGTTATCAAGTTGGCTTTCCTCAGTATTGCGCCTTTTCATGTCTTCACCAGCACTGCAAGAGAGTGCCCGTGTCACCGCCCCTTCTGCATTGCTGAATGTCTTTCCTTAAAATAATTGTTTTTTTAGCAATTCAATAGCTCCTGAGCCTGTTGCATATATTTGGTCCACTGTCTGTTGTGGGAGTGTCTGCCTGTGTGTTTTGATGTTCTGAGGTGCAGTAAAGTTACTTGTGCAGGTGAGGTGTTAACTCCATGGAGGACAGAACACGAGAGAAAGCAGTAGATGACAGATCCCAGGCGTGAGCTTTCCGTACCCGGCAGTTCTGACACTCGCTGCCCGGAGCTAGCGTGGAGCCCACGGGCTAAGGGCTCCATCCCCCAAAACCCTTGCCTCAGGAGCCGGCTCCGGGCTACCCACAACCTCTGCCTGACTTGGCTACAAGTCAGAGGTTCCCATGACCCTCTCCTCTGGTTTGATAACTTGCTAGAGCCAACCACACGCCGTGAAAACAGTTGACTTGCTGTGGCCAACTTCTCACACAGGGTGTTTTAGAGGATGCAGAGAATAGCGAAGGCTGGGGGTCACTGCACGCAGGTGCTGTGGTCTCTTTGTGGGCGTGTCCATCACCCTGGGACTTTTGGGGGTATGGTGGGGGCTGCATCGTGCAGGCAGGGTAATTACAGCATTTCCCGCCCTTCTCACTTCTCTGGGGCAGGGGGGGGGTGCTGAAAAGTCCAAGCTTCTAATCATGACTTGGCAGCTGTCTGGAGTCCACCCAGACTCACCCCATTAGAACAGAGGACACTCTCGTCGCTCAGGAGATCCAGGGGATTTAGGAGTTCTTGCCGGACGTTTCTGTCACTCAGGGAATCCCAAGGGTTTTAGGAGCTTGTGCTGGGAACCGAGGCCAAAACCAAAACACCAGCAGGATCGGGAGACAGGTGTGTATGTGTGTATGTGTGTGGATGTGTATGCATATGTATGTGTGTGTGTATATGTCTGTGTATATGTATGGATGTGTGTATATGTGTGTTGATGTGTATGCATATATATGTGCATGTGTGTGTTTTGATGATTTCACAAGTGACACATATGTGTTGAATCCTTTATTTCTCTGCCTGCCACAATCATCTCCTGGACCCATACCTGTCATTCTGTGATCTCGTGTGATACGTATACATATTTCTCTTGTGTCTTAATATTTCGTACACTCTTATCAAAATGTCCATATGTTGCGGCCCAGGGATTCCTCTCCTCATGGTTACTTTTTGGCCATGTAGTATAATCACCTCTGACTTTCTTGTTCCCCATTTTGCAGATGAACTGCAGGCTGAGAGTGGCCCGTGGGCCAGCTGTGTCCCCCTCAGGGCCGGGACCGTTGTCTGGGGAGGAAGGACCACTTGCGGCTGGCTTCTGTCTCAGTCCAGGTGCAGGTGCAAGTGTGCAGGCGTCTTTGCTGCTGTTCTGAGGATGGTGGGAAAGTAAATAGCTTTCGTCCTGCCAGGTGGTACCTCCCCTGCTTCTAACACACTTGCACAAATGTCCTGGTTTTCTGGGCACTAGAAGGCAAAGATGCCAGTGACGCAGTGGCCACAGGAAGACATCACGGGCTGTTTTGATGGCAGATCACTTGGGGTGCACACGTGTCTGTGCGTGAGGGACGTGATGTGTGCTTGAGTGACATCCTGTACAGAAGGCTTGAGGAGCAAAGGAAAGAGAAAAAAAATATTTACTGTGTTTCTTTAGAAAGAACTTGACTCAAACAGTTGATATGGTCCAGAATCTGCATGGAATAGCAGTCAAAGGTGACAGAAAATTAGCTCCTTTTGAATCAGAACAGAGAGATGCCCACACGAGTAAGACTTTGGGAAGGTTCTGTATGATGTAGGATTTAAAATGGTTTTTGAAGAGCAGATTTTTAAAAAACATTTTGCTGCCAGTGAATTAGGCCCTAAAAGCTGGCATTAATTTCAGTCATGTCAAGAGCCAAATGGATTAATAATGAAATACCAGAGAAAAAGTACCATCTCTCACTTAAATGTTTTTAGCAATAATAATGACTTAAGACTTGATAAAACAGCTGAGAATGAATATTATTCCCACCTGCAGCTTTCCTAATAAATGAAATGTTCCCGTGGAGAACCCAGCCTCCTTTAAGACAGGTTCAGAGCAGGGCGCGTCAGGAGGTGGGGACTTGAACTTGATTAAAATTTCTTTTCATGGATTCAGTCAGCCCCTTATCTTGATATTCAAGTAGAAGGAAAATGAGAATTTGAAGCCTTAGTAGAACATTGTGGAAATGTTAAAATCGGTAAACATTAAAAAACCAAACTGGAGAGATAAAATCAGTAAGTGACAATTAGGAACCTTCCAGATGGGAGGCAAATAGTCGCCCTGAATGATCTGACCTAAAGTGCCCAGCCAGGAACTGTCTCTGGTTTCTGTGTCTTTTCAAATGCAACTTTCCCAGGAATATGCTTCTGATTCACAAAGTGAACTTCATCTTTCAGTTGCTTCTGAATTAAAAACAGAAGGGCTTGTAGTGGGTTTCGATACCGTGGTATATTTCAGATGTGAAAATTCACCTGTACGGTTTTATAAACAATTATGTTGAGTTAGCGATGTTCATTCACACACAGTCTTCAGTTACTCCTCTTGAATTGTTTTGAATCGTATGGATAAAAATTAAACTTCATAGAGGAAAACAAGTATATTAAGATACTTTCGCATAGAAAATATGACGTTAGTATTTTGGTGAGTATTTGATTTTTTTTCCTCACCAATAACATTGATTTTATTTGCGCTACAGTTATTCTCCAGGAGTATTTTAAATATTAGAAGGCTTTTATAATGAGCACATAAAGGCTTCATTTTGATTTTTGAAGCTGAAATGTATTCACTTTGTGTAGTTAACAGCGCTGTCACCCAGGATCTTCTCAAGTTGTTCTTTTTAACCTTCTTTATTATGTAGTTTTCCTGTTTTTAACATATTAGCAATTTTTGGAAACATACCTTGTCCTGACAACATCGAGGGTATCCTTTGAGATGGCGCAGAGAACGGTAACATTGAAAATTAGTAAATTAGCAGCTTTGTAGATCACAGTGTTACAGATTTGGAGACTTAAATATGACATCTCTTAGGATAACCTTTAAAAAAATCTCTTACTGATAAACTCTGTACTTCCAAAAATTATTTCATCTAATTGAGATATTTGAGATTGTGTGTTAGATCCCAGAATCCTTTCTAAAATTATTTTATCATTATTATGGTAATTCTGACAATTATTAGAAAGTTTTAAAAAATTAGTTGGGATACAAAGAAAAAAATTGAAGTCTGCCCACATTTCCGTTGCTCTGCAGTAGCCTTACACGTGTGTAAGTGGACACTCTTTTCAGTACAGCGTTGGGGTCTGGCCGAATCAGGTACCACTGGCTGTTTGACTGTTCTTCCCCTGTAATTTGGTAAATCCAGCTTGAACGACTGACTGGGTGGATGCTGGAGAAATTTTCCCAAGTTGGGAAAAGTGAGATGAGGGATTTACTTGTGGTTCAAAGAGCTTGTGCCCCTGTGCGTCCCGTGGCTGGAAGCACTGGCTTTGATACGGGATTCTGGCCTTACCTGTGTGGAGATGGCCAGTGTCGAGGTCTGGGGGGTCCCTGAGGAGGGTCACAGAAGGCAGGCGGCTTCCTCTTCAGGTGTCCAGCAGTTTTATCCATCATCTCCTGCATTTCATCAGGTTATACTTTAAACGTTCATTTCTTCCATGCTGTTTTAGGGACGGTGGGGAAAAGTTTGTGTAGTGTCCTGGAACAGTCTCCGGTCACACTTGGTGGCCACGGTTACAGCGTGGAGGCTGGCGTGCACAACTGATTCAGCAGCATTGCTGGGGTGATACCCACCGCTGTGTTAAGCGTGGCACAGCCCTGTGGAAAAATGTCCTCTAATGCTGTTTATCTCCGCTTTGTCTCCCAGATGTTGGAAGATAAAACTCCCTGGGGGCTCTCTGAAAATGAGTACCTTTTCTTCTGCTGACTTTGTCTCATCAGGATTTGTTACTGTTTATGAATAAAGGACACCATTATTGAACACTCAGCTATTGCTAACACTGATGTTCCTAGTGGGGAAGGAGGGACAAATGTGCTGTGCTTGTTTATTTTTATTCCTGCTGTCACTGTTTTTCTCTTGTGGTTTAAGAACATGTAAACAGACAAGAAAACAAACAAACCAGAGCTCGAGGAGCCTGCATGCCTTTTTTCCTCCTGCTGCATCCCCCCCCCCCCATTTTTCAGAATCTGGTTTGGGTTTGTTTCAGTTTTGAAGCAAGTGCCGCATGAAGCCCCAGCAGTGCTGCCGGGATCGGGCTGGGCGTGGTGCTGCTGTGCCTGGCCCTGGGCCTCGTGGTGGAGCTCCGTGGGCAGTGCTGTGCCTGTTATGGCCAAAGAACCGCTCACTTGCGGGCCTTAGAAAATAACCAAACGAAGTACTGGAGCATAACGTGCCGCTTTGTCTCCTGTCAGAAAGCGGAAGACGAGGATCCTGTTCTCACACCCGACGGCACCAGGGAGTTTCTCACCTTTGAAGTTCCGCTCAATGACTCGGGATCCGCCGGTCTGGGCGTCAGCGTCAAAGGAAACCGGTCGAAAGAGAACCACGCGGACCTGGGGATCTTTGTCAAGTCCATTATTAACGGAGGAGCAGCATCCAAAGTAAGCAGGTGTCGGCTTTACCAAGTGCTCATGCACCAGGATGTTTAATTACAACCCTGTGTTGGAAACATGTAAGCTGAGGGATGAAACCTGGCATCTACTCTCTTAGACTCGGTGTCTGTGGCCTGTGAATTAAACAGACAAAACACAGATTTGCAGGAGGAGAAGTTCACAAATTTTATAGATGTTAATATTTCCAATTTTATGAGCATGGGGGCTCCACAGAGCAGCAGGGAACCCCTAAAGAAGCGCTTAGCCACGGAAGCTCCTGGGCCATTTTAGCAAATGATGATACAGGGTGTAGTGGCGATTAGACAAAGCAAGGGGGTTTGGGCTTCCAGGGCGTGTGCTGTGGGAAGGCAGGTACATGAGGGAAACCGGTGGCAGGAAAGGTCTCCCATGTAAGGTGTGTTTACGTGGCTGCGTCTCAGTGTCATCTCTGGCTCTGCTGGTGAGGGTTTTCCTCCCCCAGCTCTGGGAGAGCGGAGGGGACCCCTCTACCAGGGGGACTGTATGGCCCGTGTTTAGCCAGAAAGGGGAGGAGAGGCTTCCTCCTGTGTTGTGCCGGGTGTCAGTTACCTTCCGCTCAAAATAACCCTAGTGCCAAAGTGGCGTGTTTTGGGGCGATGTGTTCGCCCCCAAACGCTTACGTGTTTTCCGCCCCCAAACGCTTACGTGTTTTCCACCACCAAACGACCAGGGGAATCACAGAGCTCTCTCGCTTGGGCATCGAGCTCATGGCTTCAGCTCATCTTTTTTCTTAACTTTTTTTTCCCCAAATTGAAGTGTCGTTGATTTGCAGTGTTGTGTCAGTTTCTGGTGTGCAGTGTGGCGATCAGTCACACACACACACGGACACTCTCTCGTGTGCTTTTCCATTATGACCCATGCTGCACAGCAGGGCCTCGTTCATCTGTCTCGTTCGTAGTGTGTGTTTGTGTCTCAGAATTTGCAGCGCTTGGCTATTCTGGGGAAGTGGAGGTTGTCTGTCTGGGCCCAGAGCTGCCCCAGGAAAGCCCTCCTGGGGGGCGCCCCGCCTGTCTCCCAGCCTGGGGAGAATGTCCTGGCTGCTGAGGGGGCACCCCTCCCCAGCTGGCTGGTGGCCTGGAGTGCTGCACGTCCTGGGCTGTAAGTAAGCTCTCTGGGTGTCTCTGGAAGCAGGAGAGTAATCACTTTGTGTCTTTGGAACTAGTGGCTGTTTTGGTCAACAGATTATGATAATGACTTAATTTACAAATGGATGAATGACTGAAGGAGACAGAGGGGCCGCTTACACAGTATTGTGCTGCTGTTCAATTGGCCATAATCCATTCGTATTAAAGCCCTTTTTTCTCCCTTTTTCCTTTGTTTTTATTTTTTTAACTAAAGAGAAAGCAACTTCTTTGATCACAGACGCTTTCACAGCACTGATTGTCCCCTGTCTCCTTCCCAGGATGGGAGGCTGCGGGTCAATGATCAGCTGATCGCAGTGAATGGGGAGTCCCTGCTGGGCAAGACCAACCAGGACGCCATGGAGACCCTCCGCAGGTCCATGTCCACCGAGGGGAACAAGCGGGGCATGATCCAGCTCATCGTGGCCCGGAGGGTCAGCAGGGGTGGCGAGGTAAAGAGGGACCGGGACAGACGGCGCCCCCGGGGGAGCAGGCCCGAGCTCCATCCTGGCGAGGGTGAGGAGGGCCCGGTGCGGGCGCTGCGTGCTGCACAGGCTGCCACCCTGTCAGGGTGCGTGCCTGGCGCACTCGGTTCTCGGGTGCATGTAACCCCGAGTGTGCACTCACAGATGTCGCCCCCTACGCAGACAGCACTGGGGTCTGAAGGCACTGCAGCTGGGCTCCCGTCTTGAAGACAGGGCCGCCCCTTCCTGCTCACGCCGACACCTCTCCTGGTGGGCAGTGCTCTGGGAGGGGGAACGTGGACACAGTGGCCGCCCATTCCCTGCCTTTTCTAGGATGGGTGCCTCCTGCAAGTCTCTCTCATGGAGGGGGAGAGTTGGGGTGTTGTCAGAAGTGTAATTCTCCCCACCCCGGCCCTCCCGTCCCCCTTTCTCCTCCACTGGGGGCCTGAGCCTGCCTTCAGAGGTATCTCCTGCCCGATGCCGCGGTGGGTTCCCTGCGTGTGCTGCGGTCTGGGATGCGGGAGGAGTCGGGAGGGGATGAGCATCCGTGTCCCAGAGAGTAAAACTGTACCAGGTAGAGGTGTGCTTTCTTGTACAGCACAGCGTGTGAAAACTGTGTATGTATTTGTTAATTTATATTAGAACCTGAACAAGTTTTTTCAGAAATCTGTCGTAAAGCCTGTGCCGTTCTTCTGAACCAGGCTTGGACCAGGGACCTGCTTGTTGAAAGTGTAGAGCTTGACTGTGTTTTTACTGATGCTCAACTCCCCACGTTTCTGAATCAGCTCTGGGGAAAGGACCAGCAAACGCTACAAACTGAAAGTTGTATCTAAACTGCTTAGGAGTTTTTCTTAATTTTAAAGTCTGTGTTCAGTAGTGAAAGCAAGCTTTTTTGGCTGTGGTGCTGGCTCACTGACCCTCAGATGCGGGCAGATTTGTGGAGAAAAGTTGCATGTGAGCTCAGTGGGTAATCAGTGGAGAGGCCACCGTTTTTTAAGGTTATTTGACCATTGACTTATTTTTGCATTGTTGTTATTTTCGAAATGGAGAATGAGTTAATGGTAATTCACGAATTAATTTCCACAACAACAAGGGAGCAGTGTAACCTTAACTGCAAACCTCAGAGTAGAAAACGGGGGAATAAAACATCCACTTTCATGTGGTGAGTATAAATGCTGACCTCTGAGCAGGCTGCCCGGTTGGTCGTCTTGAATGATGATTTTCCTGGTTTCCAGATCATTCAGTGCTGTTAACGTCCCACAAAGAGCTCTGTGACCGGTTCTCCCCGGGAGGTTGCAAGACACAATGTCTCTTACTAGGTCTTGTCCCAAAACTAAATACTTCCATGTTCCACAAGATGTTCACTGAGCGTCTTCTGTGTTCAGGGAACATACTGGATCCTGGGGATCCAGAGTGAATAAAGCAGGTGGGGCTCTCTCTCATGATGGTCCGCTGGAAGCGGATCACATCCTCATCTCTAAAAGCCAACTAAAATGTCTAGCACCTTCTCAAAGTTTTCTCTCAGAGAAAACCATTGAATGTGATGGGGTGGGGGGGGGGTCTTAAAATGCGAGGTGTGGACGAGAGGTCGGCATCCCGGCTCCAGACGAGCTTTGTCCTGTCCCCAAACCTGCCCCAGCCTGGACTGATCTGGTTCCCTGTCGCCCTGGGAAACGCCCGGAGTTAGGGTTCCCGGCTGTGTCTGGGCCTCTCGTTCACTTCTGTGTGTGTGTTTGTGTGAATGAAAATGATTTGAGTAAGGGAAGAGCCGTAGCAGGCAGTGATAGGCTTAATATTTAAATCCCCTGATGGTGTCATGTTCATACACTGCTGGTTATTAGCGTTCTCAGGGTGGAGTCAGCTCATAAAGCAATTACATCAAACCAGCCTTACCACGAGCTCTGTGCTTTCTTAGTAATACTCGTGAAAAGCCTTTTGTACTGACAGGGTTTAACGAAGAAGTGGCTGAAGACAGAAGTGCTCAGCTCAGCTTCCCGTAAGTCTTCAGACATGATCTTACAGCTGTTGGACGTATAAACATATATTCCCTTTGGGAAACCGTCTCCCTGAATTACCGGGAGGGGTGTGTGAATTATGTTACCGTAAATATTGACGTAAGTGCAGGGCGTCTTGTCATGAATGGACCTCAGTCCCAAATAATGTGCCAACTTCTCCCCTCCTGGGTCTGTCCCTCAGCCGCACGGTCCAGTCTTTGACGGTATCACGCAATTATATTTCACTAACTCATCTTTTTTATTTTTTATTTTCTTTAAAAATTTTTCAGCAGGGAGGGAGACAATTAGATTCATTTTTTTTTATTTATCTAATGGAGGTACTGGGGATTGAACCCAAACCTCATGCATGCTAAGCACGCACTCCACCACTGAGCTCTGCCCTCCCCACCACTGACTCATCTTTACATCAAGGGTTTGCATACTTAATTTCAAGCCAGAGAAGATGAAACTTTGCAAAAGAACACCTTCTGTGCTCTGTCACATTTTGCCCCTTATACGTGGGAAGTGCTATGTGTCATTGTAATATGTTTTCTTTAAAACCTGGCAGCTCTGTGCACCAGGCCCGCACTCCCCGCCCTCCCTGTCCCCGCCCCCAGTGGGCACATTTGGGGACGTTCCCTGGGAGGCGATTCTCAGTGTTGTCCGCTCCACCTCTCAGGGCTCTGTGAAGGCTGCTGGTCGTGAATCCTCTCCTGCCGCTCTTTCGTCTCCTCCTTCCCTTGGGCCTCCTGCCTCCCCTACAGTCACTCTTTCCCACCTGTGCTTTTATTGGCTCGTGTTCCTCGAGGCGTCTCCTGGGCTATGTCTCCTGCACATGCTCCTGGGAGATCTTCATCCCTGGTCCGTGTGCTATGCTGCATCCCGGGGTCCTGACTCCAGCCTGGGGCCCTGTTCTGCCTCCAGATCCCTCTGTCTAGCTGCTTGCAGAGATGCCCACTGGCCTGGCTCTCAGGGACCTGTACTTCCTCCTCCAAAACCTGTTCTTCCTTGAGTAACTTGTCCACGCTTGGGCACCTCCTCCACCCAGAAATAGAACCGCCGTTTCTTCTGTTGCGGAGGCCAGACATCGGGGGTGGCCCTGACCTCTCAGGTGCCTTTATTGTCTCTGCAGCCGCCTCCTCTCCTCCTCTCTCCTCCAGCGCCTGCTGTTGCCCGTATTCGGGCCCTATCGTCTCCCTGAGCTCCCTGATGTGGCCCCTGAAGGATTTCTGTCTCAGCCTCTTGTTGCAGCAAAGTGTATTAGAGCTTGGTGTTACAGCTCAGTGATGACAGCAACCTGGATCCCGGCGAGAGACCAAGCAGCACTCTGAGAGTTGGAGAACCCAGTGAGCCCAGAGGTGTTAACATGTCAAGCTTTGGACCCTATCTGTAGGTTTACACAGGCTTTTATAGGCTATCAGTCTAGACTTTGCAACATTTTGTAACATCGTATGCAAATATGGTATAACAAAGGTGACTAATTAGGAACAAGCTTTGTAGAAATGGACCAATCAAGAGGGAGAGAAATGGACCAATCAGGAGTGAAAGAAAGAACCAATCAGGAGTGAGCTCAGGGAACCAATAGAATCTTAGGGGTAAGTTCTACTTTGCTAGAAACAAGCTGTTTCAGAGTTAAAAAGCAAGATAGAGCTTCTGAGCCGGGGAACTGGGTGGTGCTGGCAGGAAAGTAGTGGCCCTGCCTGGGGGTCCTGCTGTCTTTTTCATGGGGCTTCCCACCTCACTCTCACCAGCAGAAGGCCCATCTTCCCACGAGACACACTGCCGAATTCTGTCTCCTCCCGCATGGGTCCCAGTCTTCATCTCGTGGCCCCCAGCACATGCCCAGCCCTGTGCCAGCTCTGCGCTGGCTTCTTGGCCTGTCTGGAATTTCTCAGGTGTCTGATGCTGCCTTTCACCTCCGGGTTTTCTGTGGGTCTGTTCTGCTCCTTGGCCTGGAAAAGACGGCCTTGGGTTTTTAGTTCTCTCCCTACGCATTTCCATGGCCCCGGGTACCTACCCTACGCAGCAGCCGTCCCGTCGTCATGGTTTCTCTTTGGTTTTCTGTGAATTCTGAGCCTCCGGGGCCCTGTCCATCTGCTGTGTTCTGGCTCCCCATCACTGGTCCAGCCCGGGGCTGACGGGTAAACGTGCACTGAAGGGTGAGGGAATCAGTCCCCGAGAGTCCAGAGTCGGGCATTTTTAGGGGAAAAAAAAAAAAGAACTTAGTTACTGTTAGACCCTGAGGTTCTGACAAGACAGGATAACAAAATGATTCTGGATTTCCTGTGCTTTCCTTAGATTGAATGCTCTCACTTAAGAATTTGAAAACATTCCGTGAGCAGTAATTGTTTCTTTAAAAAGAAAGAAGAGGTGGCTTCCCGTTGTCCCATGCTCCTGAGGGTGGGTGAACTTCAGGGCTGCTTCTCCACGGGAAGGAGCTCACAAAGCACGGGGCAGAAACATGGGGCTTGTCGCAAAGGACGAGCTTGTTGAGGCCTTTGGAGGAGAGTGAACACCTGACGCCCCTCCTTGCTTGTGGAAAACAACCTGTGTATGAGAATGACGTTGATCTTAAGTGTCCGAGGAAGTGAGTGTTTGCAGGAATGACTCAGTGTTCCCAGTCATCTCGCTGGGGCCTGTCTTCGCACCAGGAGGGAACAGACCAGACCAGTTTTGTCTTAGACCCCACGCTGAGGACTTTAGTCGCCAAGGGCTGCTTTAAAATGGGTTCTCTGTCTGGGTCTCATCCTGTTAGAATTAGAGAGCGACCTTGGAACAGGAAGGGGCCTGAGGTGCCACGTGTGGTTCCTTTATCTTATGAGTGAAGATACAGATGCAGAGAGGTCAGATGATCTGCTTAATGGCTGCGAGGCCAAGGGAGCACGGAGTAACTTAGAAGCCAGGTGTCACCCTTCTTGTGCCGAGAGCGGGTCTCAGTGACCGTGCTGTCCATGCCGTGCCTGTTCTGGGAAGTGTGCGCAGCGACCCGTGAGCCTTGGCACCCGGCAGGCTGTTACCTCTTGGGTCCACCTGTCCAGGCTCCTCTCCCCCGGGTCCTTCCATCAGCCCCGTGGGGACGTGAAGGACACCAGCTGTGGTTCTGCATGGGAACAGAGCTGTGGAGCCGGACCCTGGAAGTGCGGCCACTCTTCCCCGAAGCTCGGCCCCATCCTTCTGTTCCTGGTTCTGTGTCTCCTGGTCCTGGGGGTGGTATGACTTTCTACCATGTGTGACCGTGGTCCATGTCAGATGGCGCTGTACCCTTCTTCCACGTGGCCTCATGGGCGTTAGACCCCTAAACGGTTTTAAGGAAAATCTGAATCATTCGCTCAGAAATGAATTTATTCATCCAATTATTCACCCAGTGCCTGCTCTGTGCCAGGAACTGGGGCTAAAATAGAACAAGCTTATAAAGACTGAAATGCCGAGTAATAAGATCATGGCAGTGACTAACCAGGGCCCAGTTTAAAGCCCGCTGCAGGGTGTTAGGGCCGTGTCCGCACCCACCCGCCTGCGTTCGTAGTCGGGGCGGTGGGATGTGTTTCCTTTACGTGGAAGACATGATTTGACCCTCGAACGCACACTTAAAACAACATGATTTTGCTGAGCCCCACAGGTATTATATTCATTTTAAAAAAGAAACCAACATCTTCCCTTTTCCCAGGAAGACTGGGCCAAGTGTGTAATCTGAAGCAGACTCGCTGGACCGTACCCGGTTTTCTGTTGTTAAAGAGCCCGTCTCATTTTCTGTTTATACAAGAAGATATGATCATTTGAATATCTTTTTTATTTGAGAGTGTGTGATATTTATATTGTTTATAGGTGTGGGGAAATTTCCCATTTTTATACCTTTATAAATGGAGTTCTGATAAATGTTGATCAGCGTGGGTCTTTATTATTCACTGAGCTTATGGTTTCGTGAGGCTGGTGGCCACAGTGACGTAAGAGGCCCGGTTGGGGCACAGGGCGTCGTCAGCCTGCGCTGCACACCCTGTTACTTTGGGAGGAGACGGTCTTGCTTCGTGCTGCCCCCCGCCCCCCAGGGTGAGCTGTCCGGCTGCAACCATGGGGCTGGTTTTTCTCGGTAGGTGGGAGGGCTTTCCCATCTTCCTGGGGATGGAAGTGAGGGGCTCCAATGCAGCTGCCTCTCCTGGGGACAGGGGTACATTGGCTTGAAGACCATTTTTGCAGTTGAAACAACAAAGCAAAAATTTCAGTTCTTTTATTTCAGTGCCTTCCTCTAATTAAGCTTAATTTGAGAAGGTTTTTCTACAAGGGCCTGGGAGCAACCCAGTTTGCAGGAAGGCCTGGACCTCAAGTTTGCTTAGCAGATACATTTAATTGAACACTGTAACGCCACAATTTTCTAGATGGTAAAGCCTTTATAAAGCCCCCTTACGAGAAATCCCTAACTATCCCAAGAGGCTTCCAGGACCACCCTCCTGGGAGCGACCACTGCCCCACTCCCATGCCATGCAGGCCTCTTTCTGAAACTCGTTTGCTTGCAACAAAAAACATCATCAAAAGATTTAAAACAAAACTGTGTACCCCTGTCAGTTTTTTTTTTAAAGAAATTGAAAGACATTGTGTCGTCTGTTAAATATTTATGTCGGAGGACACTGATGTCTTCATTTAAATCCGTCTTTTGAGATGCAGATCAGCCATGGTTGGGGAGGCGAGGACTCTTTCCCATCACAGTGTCCCAGCGTGAGGGCCCCGGTGAGCAGGCCTCTTCCTGTTCTGCCCCAGAAAGCCTGCATGTGCTGTTTTTTAAATGGAATTTTTATCTGACTTTATAAAATTCTAAAGTAGCCTCTTGGGATAGTTAGGGATTTCTCGTAAGGGGGCTTTATAAAGGCTTTACCATCTAGAAAATTGTGGCGTTACAGGGTTCAATTAAATGTATCTGCTAAGCAAACTTGAGGATGTGCTGTCTGTCTCATGATGACATGAATTGCCGTGCAGCAGGCGGCCAGTCCTTGCCGAGCAGGTCTCTTCACCGTGTGTGTATGCTCACTAAACCTCAGGTGTGCCTGTTCCTGAAGGTGCGGGGCTTCTGCTGGGTTGGTTTTGTTTTTATCTCCCCAAAGTACCTCGGGACTCAGGCTCAGTATTCTTTCAGAAAATGTTCTGGTATCTTTTACTTTTAACATCGGAGACCTTGAATATTTAATTTACTTTTCAGTAAAGCTGTCAGTTATAATCTGCAATTAAAAAAAAACTAATAAAACAAATCCTCATTTCACAATTTAAGCCTTATTGAGTCTAACTCAGTCCCGCAGCCGGACGTGCCTCCAATTGCAATTGTGTTGACCCTTCCGAGCCTTGAGCCTCCCCGTGCTTATCACCCTAGGTGCGATAAGACTACGATTCGGAACTTCATTAAATATTTCATTTATATTAAACAGACGGTAGCTTCTAAGAGAAATGATAATTTGTTCTGAACAGGAGCCACAGCTGTGGTTGCATCTGTTTGGAGCGTACAGCTCCCCCCACGGTCCCCTCCCTCCCTACGGGGTCCCCTCCCCTCCACAGTCCCCTCCCTCCCCCCATGGTCCCCCAGCCCCGCCCCCCACAGCCCCCTCCCCCCCATGGTCCCCCCCAAGATCCCCTCTCTGTGCAGCCCCCTCCCCCCATGTCCCCTCCCTCCCCAAGTGTTCCCCCATGCCCCCCCCATGGCCCCCTTCCTCCCACGGTCCCCTCCCTCCCTGTGCAGCCCCACCACGGTCCCCTCCCCATCGTGTTGTCCCCCACCCCCTGGCTGCGGCCTGCTCCAGAGCCTTGGGGGGTTGACTCGGAGCCCACGTTCGGAGGCTCTGTGTATTTGTTTCTCCTTGAAGCAGGTTTGTTTCGAGGCCTTAACTAGCACAGAGTTCTCCTTCCTCGGAGTGTGTTTATGATGTCGATGACTTACAAGGTGCACCTGTTTTAAGGGAGGCCACAGAGTCTTCATTCTCAGAGGCAGGAATTGCCATGTATGCTGTCTCGCCTGGTAGGTGGTTCATGTTTGTGGGGCAGGCACCGTCGCCTGCTTCACCGGAATATTTGGTCTTGGCCTGTGCTGTCGGTTTGCTGAGGAGGGTCTTGTGTGGAGGGTTAGTGAGAGGGTTGGGGGGGCTTTTTAATTACAGCAGCAGAAATTGAGGCTCAGCGTGTTGTTCAAGCAGCCGAGCTTACAAGTGGTCTTGGGCATCAGAGGGCAGGTGGTCGTTTGGCTAGCACGACCCCGGGCTGTGCTGACTGTCAGGTGTGTCGCACGCCCCGAGTGTAACATGTAGCGTGCAGTCCCAGCTCCGTTCTGCTGGTGGTTAAGCTCATGTTTCCCAGAGCAGCATCTCGGAAAGGATTCTGAATTAGACCATAACTTAAATTGACTTCAACCAGTCCTAACAGGCAAGCTGGAAAAATAAGCAACAAGACATGGTTTGGGAAAAAAAGGCTTTAATATGCATATTTTTCCTCCAGTGGTTGGAACCTGACAGAACGTCACGGGAGGCACAGTGTAAAGTGGCAGAGAAAGCTGGCCATTAGGCGGATCTGTCATCACAAGTGATTTTGGTGCCGGGTGGGAAGTTGTGTCTCATTTGGCGCCCAGTTGGGTGCAGCCCTGGGCAGGCTGTTCCGACCCCTGTGCCACCGGCTCAGACTGTGCCTCTCCCCCTTCTCTCCAGCTGAAGTCACCGGGGAGCCCCTGTGGACCTGAGCTGCCCGTTGAGATGGTGCTGGATGACCGGGAACGGAGGATTTCCCACTCCCTCTACAGCGGGGCCGAGGGGCTGGATGACCCGCCTACGAGAAATGCTGCCCTCAGCAGGATCATGGGTGAGTCGGCTGAGGCCCTGGGTGGCACGTCTCAGTTTCATGTTTTTCCTGGTTCACGGAGAGGTTGTTAATGTGGTATGAATGTGAAGGAGGCCCGTGCTTCCAGGAGGAAAAGGAGCAGCTTCCTTACGATCACTCAGGAAGTGTTAACACCAAGAAAGTAAATCAAAACATTGATTTGGTTAAGTGAGTTTCAGATCCTGTAACGTGTGGGAAGAGGAAAGAAAAAGGTGGGGGAGCTCACATGGAAATGTTGTCCAGTGATCAAGATGTGCTCAGCGTGTTTGAGATGATGAGTGAAGCTGTGATTTAACGAAAGAAAAAAATCAAAACATAGTGGCTTATGGCAAGAAGGATTCAAAAGTTACGTATTCACTGTAGCACCGCTTGCAGGGAGAGGAAAAAACGCGTGTACACGTATGTGCGTGCATGTGAAATAGTCACACTTTGTGCTTTATACTTACTAGGATGTGGCCATCTTTTAATCGCATCTCTGCGTCTTCAAGGCCTCTGTGTGTCTGTGCGCCCTTTGTGTGGGTGCCGCCCGCACTGTCCGTGTGGCCGCCTGCAGCCGCTCGGCCTTCTGCTGGCAGGCCCCCTTGGGGAAGACTTGCTTTGCACCAGCGTGGTCGGGGTTGCACCAGCGTGGTCGGGGTTGCACCAGCGTGGTCGGGGTTACCGAGTTGCTCATCTGGGGGCTAGCCTGTGAGAGTTCTCACATTTAAAATGTAGGAAGCTGTTTTGATTGATGTAGCCCGTGACACAAAACACTTTCATTGCTGGTACATTTTGCAAGCCCCTGATATAAAGTACAGCATGACGTTTAACTCCATTTTGAGCACGTTTCATGGAGATTTAATACAATTCAGGTCTGCATTATGAAGCCTCATTGGAGCAGCAGTGAGTTTCCTTCATCGGGGTGTTTATGGAAACCTGTTGTTGGCAAGACGTTGTGTATGTACTTTGGCTGCGGGTAGAACGAGGGGCGAGAAGCCTGCCTTTAAAGACTTTCAACCAGAAAATAGGAAAAACACATGAGTGTGACTGGTAGAATTTTCTGTTGTTCATCCTTTAATCTGTCTAGCTTTCTTATCTGTTAAAAAAAAAAAGAAAAGAAAAATTTTGCTGAATTCCCAGTTTCTTCTTCTGTCAACGTAGAATGAAGACATGCCAGCTCTGGTTGGGTTTTGCCAGCCTGCTCTGGTCTGCCTGCTTGGCACAGCCCCATGTAGGGGAAGGACGGCGAAGACGTGGTCCCCGTCAGGTGACAGGCATCGCTCGTAGCGTGTCGCATTGACCTTCATGGGCTAATGGTCACCGTCTCCCCTGCTGTTGGGTTTTCCTCTCTTTCCGGGTTGGGTGTGAACGTTTACCGCGGTTAAGGACTTTTTAATTGGTGAAAATTCAGACCCCTTGCGAGAGGGAGAGCGCACCTGCGTCCCGGGCCTGTGCATACAGTGATTCGCTGTGATCTCCCCTCTGTTATAGGGACGTAGGACTTGCCATTACTGAATCAGACCCGTGGCCCGCCAGCTCCTGTCACCGGCGCCCTGCCTCCAATCCCTGATGCTTCCGAGGAAGGCGAAAAGCTAAAACTAGAAAACCAGCCCCAGACCCCACATTCACCTAGTGACCTTTGGAAACGCTGTGCATCTGGGTTGAGGATTCCTCCTTCTTCTTCAGTCCGTTGCCCCTGCTTTGTCAGTGGCGGCCTCAATCGCCCTCTTCCGTTCGCGCTGTAGTGGGCATGGTTTTCCCTTTCCCCCGCTTGAGACGTGACAGTCCCTAATATTCCAGATGCTTTCCCAGGCCAGCAACCTCCCTCCCTGCTCCCTGCTGTGTGATGAGCTGTGTGGGCCCCTTTGGGCTGGGATGACGGTCCCCTTGCTCTTCGATGGTCGGCCGGATCGATAGTGAATGGTTTGGGTATTTTCTTAAGACAGTTTTTCACATGTTGTGCTGGAAACTAGGGGTCCTGTCTTGTTTTACCCTGAGAAATGTATGTGCTTAATTTGATTTATCTTGAGTTTTACAGCTTTGAGAATTCCTCAGCCTCTGTGAGTCCAGGTTTCGGTGTCATTGGCCCCAAGACACCAACACTGTTTGTAAAGTCATTTCCTTAGAAGTCCTGCAAAAGATGGTACCTGGTACCAAATACCGAAAGAGGGTACCGAGTAGAAGAAATTGGAGCGCTGCATTTCAGTTATCCTTAACAAAGAGCAGCGGTGTGTACCGAGGAGCACGGTGTCCAGGCGCACGGACGCCGCTCAGGCAGGCCCTGGGCGGTCAGGGGCTGTCTCCCGTACCTCCAGGGTAACTCCGGTGCAGACACCAGTGGAGGTGGTGGCATTTGTGTGACTTGCTATGATTCAGGTAGAACTTTGTCCTGAAATACCAGCTGACTACATTAAGAAATTACAAATTTTATGGGGACAGGATGGCTTTTCACGTAGAATATTCCTTCTTTGGGACTCTAGACCCAAAAGGAGCTTTGAGGCTTCCTGACTCATTTCTGTGGGAACATATCCCAGGGGAGTAGTTTCCAAAAAATAGACCGAAATGGAAGAGCTGTTGAGTTGGAAGGACGTCAGCCACATGTTCCCACTAAACAGATAAAAGAGCTGAGTCCCAAGAGCCCTGATGACTTGTGTTCTGTTTTGTTCATGGCTGTTTGCTGTTTGTAAAAGCAGCTCTTTCTGGGGGACACTGGCATCACACCATGAGTGTTGGTGACACTCATTCTTCATTAACATCCGTTTTTAAGTATCCACATTTTTCAACCAACTGGCATTAGATAGTCTGCAGGATCAGTCCCACTCTGGTAACCACTGTGATTTAAAATTGAAGTTATCTTTGAAACAGCCTTAGCGGTCAGGTACCCAGGCCGCTTTACCTCTCTTCAGGGGGGGTTAATGGACCAGTGAAAGGAAGTGATGGGGCTGAAGCCTCAAGCTTTCTGTGTTTTGGAGCCATGATTACGATGCACGTTTTTCGGAGTCAGGAGTCCCACGCTACGTGAACCTGGTCAGTCCCCTTAGCTTTTGGTGGGGGTCAGCCAGCGCTGCAGCCCAAGGCGAGCTTTCTCCCAGTGCCATCTGTGCTGGCTGACTTCCCGCTTTCATGGATTTTAAGGGAGTAATCCTGGACGTTCATCAGAAAGAAACCTGTAGAGAGCCTTGTAAGGTTTCTTCCTTTTAAAAGCCTTAAGAACATTTTACAAGCTTCTGGGCTGTCTTGCCCACGACCGACACCAGCAGTGGCAGGAGCAGGCATAGCCAGCTCGACCAGCACGTTCACGTCGTTAACACGCTCCGCGTGCTGGCGTCTGGGAGCGTGGAGTTTCACATTTTTTTTCAACTTTTTTATCAGAAGAATTTTTCTGTCTAAAGCAAAGCTGAAATCTGTTGTGTCTTTCTTAGAATTTAATCTCAGTAATTTCTATATTCATACATTTTTGTCGTATGTTTAAAAAATAATTCTGTTCATAAGACTTTGATCTCGTTAGAAATTCAACATAGGAAAATGGGACATTAATGCTGTTTTCACTGTGAGACAAATCACTGGCAAATTTTTCCTCATTCGGTCCGTTCCTGGTGTTCATGCATGGTGTTGCCTTCTATGTAAATGTACCAATGAATAAATGTTCAGTAAACAGTCATTCTGTATCTCATTGTTTCACTCCGATGCCATGTCAGTCTGAGTTTCTTGCTTAACTAGTTGGGGAAACAGGAAAGTTGATTCATTGAAAAACAGATCAAAGGCTTCTCAAGTCACCTTTGGAAGGTTTTGCATTTTTGATGTGGTGAGAACCAGCAGACGAAGCGAGAGTTACTGTGTAGGTGGCATTTGGTGGGTGTGCAGTCTCATAGTTTAGTTCATCACCCTCAGTGTATTCCCAGAGCCACATCGCAAAATAGTATTCCCAGCAAGTATTTAAGAAGTGGAAAACTGACGGAAACTATGTATTCTCAAGTCTTGTGAAATCCTGGCCTCCACAATCATGAGAGAGAGAGGGAAGCTGGATCGCTGTCTCGCTGTTCACAGGGAAATTTCTTGTCATTGATTGTTGCATAAAAGTTTGAATCACTTACAGAACAGAATTTCTACTCAGAACAACATAAAAAAGGATTGTCACATGAAAAGCTAGCCAGTGTTCTTCCATATTACTTGCTAGTCTGTCTCTCAGAATACATTGCTAAAGAGAGAGGTAGGTTTTGAGTTGCGGAGTGAGTGCCCTGTGATACACCGTAATCGTTTCTTCCAGTACGTTTTGCCTGAGTGAGGACGTGGCATTTAATGCTGTGATGTGTGCCTCGTCAGTGGTGGCCTCTCGGGTAACTCGGGCTTTGTTACCATCTGTACACTTTGAGGGGAAAAAATGTGTCTTGAGAAGGAAATATTTCTCTGGGTATGAGTGCTAGCATGTCCAGCCAGCGATGAATGATATTTTACTCAACGGATCACTGTCTTTCTGTGCAAATATCCTAGAACTCAAGGAGGCATACACGAGGCATTTGGATTCAGGAAAAGGAAACAATGAAGTCTGGTTTACAATTTTATCATGAGCTTTCATAGGAAGTTGCTGGTTTTCACTGCTTGTCAAAATGGATGCATTTCAGGGGGAGGGGAAGTCATTAGGTTTATTTATTTGTTTATTTTTGGAGGTACTGGGGATTGAACCAGGACCTCGTGCGTGCTGAGCACGCGCTCTACCACTGAGCTATACCCTCCCCCCTGAAATGGATGCATTTCAAATCAAAACAGTGTTTGAGGCGGGGAGGGTGTGGCTCAAATGGGAGAGCACATGCTTAGCACACACAGGGTCCTGGGTTCAATCCCCAGCACCCCCTCTAAAAATAAGTAAGTAAAGCTAATTACCTCCCCCCCAAAATAAAAAATAAATACAAATTTTTAAAAAATGTAGTGTTTGCTACCGTGCTGAGTAGAGGGTGCAGTGAGCAAATACTGCTTCTCTAAGAGTGGTTGATGGTGACTCGTGAATGCATTTGAAATTTCTAGCCAGTTTGCTTTTGAGGGTTGTCCTGAAAAGACACATATCAACTTAATTTTTGCTCCTTTGTGGAAGTGTCTAGAATAATATATATGTTTAAAAATCCTATGTATGCCACCCCAGATTTTCCAAAATAGTGGTAAAACAGAAATTATTGTTTACGCATTCTTATGAATGTTTGCTTTCAAAATTAGACCTTAAGACAGATGTGAAAATGTTTGTAAACTGTCTACACCCTACTGTTGTGCTGTTTTCAAAGGTAACTTGTTGTGAAGGAAAGGGGTGCCCTGTTTAAAACAGTGGTGGTTTGGGGCCCGAGCCGCCATCCTTTTTATTTGCATAGGAGTCAGGATAGCTGACTTAACAGCCGTGGACGCAGGACTTGAGCTGAGAGGTTTCCGTCCCCCGTGACGTCAGGTGACGGGGGATTGTGGATCCTCCTCGCTATGTGATGCCCGTTTCTGAGTACAGCCTGTCACCAGGTACTGTGAGAATCACAGCCTTGTCCATGAGTTCTTGCTCAGAGCAGCAATGGCACCAGATCTGGGGAAGAAGCCAGAAGAACTGTAGGCATCTTGTGGAGGGAGGATGGCATCCTTTGGACACCAGCTTTACCTTTAAGGATCCAGGACCTTGAATTATAACTTTGTCCCAAGAAATATAATCGCCTACGATCCATGAATCTGAGCACATTTTCCTGAAAAAAACTGATCAATATAGACAGTCGTGGGTCTTCTCTTCCCAAGAACACTGCATCCTAATTGAGCACATCAGGATGGACAAGCCCCCCTGTCTGGGCGTGAAGACCTCTGGGCGGCAAGATCCTAATCTCTTCTCGTTAAGATCACCGCTGCTGTCTCCCTGGGGGCCCTGGTCCCGCACCTGCTCATCTCCAAAGTGTCGCCCGGATGCATGGGGGCTTTTCTCCATCGTGCATTTGCTGATGTTGCTCGTGTCTGGAATCAGTGTCACCATTTCTTCTAGCAGAAAAGATCACTGTCACCATTAAAAGCCCGTCTCTGACGTTGACTTTTGGGAAGGTTCCCAGCACGCTCTGCGTCCAGCTTCCCAGGCACTTACTACCCTGGAGAAAGCCGGGCATTTCTGATGCATCGCCCACCCACCAGCCAGTGCTGCTCCGTCTGTCTGTCTGTGTCCTGCCCTGGCGTGTGAGCTATCAAGGGGCAGAGGTTGAGTCTGTCTTACAGACCTGCTGTGTGGTAGGCGCCCCTGGGGGGCTGGGTAGATGACGGCTGTAATTCTGCAGGGCTTCCCTCTAAACTTCCTGGCAGAATTTTTCAGAGGGCTTTAACAGCTCCGAGTCTCTGTGGCGTTGTCACACTGGAAGTCTTTCTGGAGATCATCTCTAGCCTTAGGAAACTTAAACCAGAGGAATGGAATACCACACCCAGAGCGCCATGGCTGGAGTGTCAGGAGACGAAACAGACTGGCGGTCTCCACTTGACGTTCATTTATAGAAAATACATTTTCCTGAATTCTATTCTGTTCTGGGCAGATTCTGCAAGTTTAGACGTTTTCTAATGCAGAAGAGATTTACATTCATACACGTGCCCCTTAGATGAATGTCTAGAATTTCTCTTCCTTTTTTCCCCACTGCGCAGGGAAGTACCAGCTGTCCCCCACAGTGAACATGCCCCAAGATGACACTGTCATTATAGAGGATGACAGGTTGCCAGTGCTGCCTCCACACCTCTCGGACCAGTCCTCCTCCAGCTCCCACGATGACGTAGGATTCGTGACGACAGACCCTGGCCCATGGGCCCAGGCGGGCATCGGTGACTCCGCAGACTGGTAAGAGCACCCAGGGCTGGGGGACACTCATTAGTCACGGTCGCACTTGATTTTCTGTGTGAATGGCCCATCGTGTTCTTCTTGTGTCCTGTTTCCACGATCTAATGCTCTCAGTGCTCACTCAGAAGCGTGTGCAGTGGTTTTAGCCTTTCTCGGGCTCTAGTTCATAATTTAACCAAACCAACAAGAAAATGCCCACGAACCAAAAACCCTGCTCAGGTGTTAAGTTTCGCTCTTAACTACTTTAGATCTGTGTTAATTTGGTGAATTGTTTTACTGTTAAATTCTGTGCGACTCCCTGTGGTGACTGAGTGTGTGTGACGGTTGGGTGACTTTGGCCAAGAGAAGAGCTGTTCGGTCCTGGAGGAGGAGGGGCCTGGCTGGCTGTCTTCCCAGCGCTCTGTCGGCTCTGCAGGGTTTGCGCTCACTCCTTGCACAGTGACGTCCGGGGCAGCCTGGTGTGTCTCTCAGAACAGGAGAGAGCATTTGGTGTTGCTGAGCCAGCGTGTGGCACGTGAGTGTGGACGTGTGTCTTCTTTGCGTGCCGGTGATTATACACATCAGTAAGTGAAAGGCAGCCTTCCTCCGGGCCGGCCTTGGAGGCTGCCGCGGTGGTTAGTGCCACGCCCGGGCGGCGCTGCGCCAGGATTTTCTTGTTGCCCTTTCTCTGGGGTCTTTTATGAACACATCAGCAAAAGCATACTGAAATGTTGCCGCATTGAGCTGCTCTCAAGCCTGCATGATAATAGCTTACCTTGGGGTGAGTTTGTGGCTCAGCGAGGCGGGGGAGCTACCCTGGAAGACGCAGACCCGCCCAGAGCCCCCTGAGGCCGCTGCCTTGACCGCTGCTGGGCAGACCCCTCTCCGACAGTGGGAGCAGTGGCCAGCAGGGTCAGGGGTAGGTGCCGCGGCCTTCATCCCGGGGGCAGAAGCCTCTGAATCTGCCCCGAGACGAGGAATTGCAGGCAGAGATCTGGTGGGGGCCCGAGGAACATAGCGCTGTGTCGGTGCAGGTAAACAAGTAACTCGCAGGGCAGGAGTGTGGCATTGATTTCCCTAAGGAGATTCATAAAACGGTGAGGACTTGGATGAGTTTGCCGTGAGGAATGTGCAGGGGCTGGAAAAGACTATGAATGAACGGTTATCTAAACAAGAGTGGCAGCTGCTCTGAATCACGGCAGAAAATGTAAGCTTTTCCAGCCTGACAATATCTCCCTAATCCTTGATGAAAATGTTACGAAAACAAAAGGGCAATAAGGCGGGATTAATAACTGGAATTTTAATAACGCTGGGGGTCAGGACATGGTTACAGTCCTTAAAGAGTCAGCTGTCAGCCCTGCGGTCTAACGTGCTAAGTGTTCCAGGGCGCTGTTTATTGTGTCTGAAATTAGTTTAATGGGTATATTGATAGGGAAGAATTAATTATGCTATGGTTTAAGAATGTTTAGTTATTTCCAGACTCTTATTAGCTCACAAATTCATTTGACATTTTAAATTGTGGATGTTTGCAGTTCGCTGCCCAACTGTGGAAGGCCCCATCGTGTCTCACGGCTCAACTTGCCATTTGCTAAGTGATAGGATGTACTTTTTTCAACCCATTAATTGGACCTAACAGTGTTTTTAAGGTGAAAAAGGTAAAACAGCAGATTCTAATCTCAGTGACAGTGTAATTTCGGAGAATGTAAAATTAGTTTAAAAAATATGCCAGTATGTGGTTTTCATTAGCAACAACAATTTGTATGTCTTTGGAAAACCTTTTGCAAATGATTTCTATTAAGAATGCATGACTCTGTCCACAAACGTGATGCCTGTTTGGAGTTGAGGTTTTAGTGTATTCCATGTCATGCAGGAAAGGGCTGCAGGGCGTGTACAGAATGGTGGAACAGGGCCACTTTCCGTGTCTGAAAGAATTACTCTTAGAGAAAATACGTTGTTTAGAGTTGCTGTTGGCAAAGCTGGGTCGTAGTCCTCTCCGTAGGGGTTTTAATTTTTCACTTCGAGAACTGCATTTTTGGAATTGGGTGTACGTGCTCTGGAAATTACATGCATAGTGTCGTAAACGTGGTGTACGTGGACACCACTGGGTAAGTGTACTGTGCAAGCACGTGCACATGTAAGACACATGCAGAAGCCGCATGTGTTTATATGCAAATTGCACGCTAGACATGTACGTTGGGTCCGAGCAGAGTCGTATGTGAAGGGGCCCCTAAGGCTTCAGGGTGAACACGACCCTGCTTCTTCCTGGAACATCCAGTGTATCCAGAGTTTTACAGGAGAAATATGACAAATTACAAATGAAAAGAGTTCATTTATTACGACAAATCGTTATGTTTTATACAAAAAATTGTTTTGGAGGGGAGGATGTGGCGCAGGGGGAGAGCGCATGCTTAGGATGCACGAGGTCCTGGGCTCAGTCCCCGGCATCTCCATAAATAATAAATAAAACTGATTCTATCCCCCACCCAAAAAAAAAGTTTAAAAAATATGTGTCTTTGCTCTGGGCTGAACCCCCCGTGCCTCTGGGCTTCTCTTTTCTTGGTACCCGGGCCAGAGCGTGGTGAGGCCAGTGAGGCGCCCGGGGTGGCACAGGTCAAGAGGACCTCCTTTTCAGGTGTTGCCCTTGAACATGGGGGACCCTGAGATGACAGCGTCCTTAGGCTCTGAGTCCCGGACACCTGCCATGTCTCCTCCTCGGGGCCTGCTCTGGGCATGGTGGGTAAGATGGAGGCGGATTGTTCGATTGCTTCTTAAGGTTGTGGTTGGGGGTTGGTTTCTCGGGACCGTGTTTCTGTTGTCCTAAGTCATGTGACCCCGATGAGCTGAGCTGGGTCTTTGCTGGGTGAGAATGACGTTTCCGGCGTGTAGGTTTGCCGTTTAGCAGGGGCTTTCCCCTCTGGGCGTTGCGTCTTCTCAGCGGCCCTGGCAGGTGGGGGAGCCAGCGAAGCAGCGCAGGCCCCGTCCACTGACAGCGAAGCACCTCCTTGGTCTTTCTCGTCTCGATCTTGGGTTTAGCTCTTCTCGAAGGCATTTCACACACAGTAAATTACAGCTACATTTCTAGCGTCTGTCCAAACCAGAGCCACCGGTGTTTCACCGGTGTGTGTGCTCGTCTCCGAGGGCCAGGGCAGGGCGCGAGGAGCTGGCCCCTGCAGCAGCGTCAGGAGGCCGTCGCGGCTCCGCTCACACCGCAGAGAGCATCCCCGCCCCGTCTGTCCAGTGGCTGTGAGGGACGGTCCCCCCAGGCCACGTTGGGGACGTGGCTGGGCACTGCGGGAGGAAGCTCTTTGTTCACTCAGCGTGCCCAAGAGAGAAGACAGTTCTGTTGTGTGGCCTGTGCCCAGAACACCTGGCCATGCCTTTGAAAGTGCTCACAGGATTTTACAGATGGGTGATGCCCTGTCGTCCCCGCCGCCTCCTCTTGAAAAGCCCCGGGGGCCGTGTGGACCACTCTCCATCTAGTCTGAGTCGTGCTTTCCCAGGCTCCCCTCAGCACCCCATTCTCCCATCTACGTGAGGCAGTATCTGCGTTGCACTCCTGGCTTGGTGTTTTTTAAAGGAACGTGTAGGGAACATTATTTATGATTTTGGCTCTGGTACCCAGCATAATGCCTTAATCAGATTAAGTTTTAATCACAATTTGTTGTGTTGATTTCTTCTCAACTGATTAAGTATTGCAGAGAGAACATTCACCCTCGTGGAACTGCATGCCAGGGTTTTGTTTTGCAACGCAAGATAAAGGATATATAAGAAGACCAGGACATAACCTTTTTAAAACTTGTGTTCAACTGCAGTTCATGCAGTCACTTCATGGGCAGGGGTGAGTGTAGCTCAGGGTGGAGCGCGTGCTCAGCACGCACAGGGTTCTGGGTTCAGTCCCCAGCACCTCCATTTGTATTACGATATGACAGGTTTCCTCAAATATTCATTCTGTGTCACGTGGAGAAAGAACTGCTCTGAATGTGAATTAATGTCATATTTTCCCATCACCTCCTACTCAGCCACCATCTTTTTTAATGGACTATACTGGTATTAGTTAAAGTATTTCTGGAGAACACACACACCCCTCTACACAGGTGTATATGAACTTACCTGAACTGCGTGTCCCCTGTTTTCAGTAAATGTTTCTGTGTCTTTCTCTCCACACCAGCTCTTTGAGTCCAGATGTCGACCCAGTTCTGGCTTTTCAACGGGAAGGATTTGGACGTCAGAGTATGTCAGAAAAACGCACAAAGCAATTTTCAGATGCCAGTCAATTGGATTTCGTTAAAACGCGAAAATCAAAAAGCATGGATTTAGGTAGTGAGTACAATCTCCGTGAACCTCTCTCTAAACAAGGTTTAGACGCTCTCAGATTAAAACTGATGGTCCCAAACACATGGCTGTTTACTTTGAGCGATAGAGAAAATAACTGTGAAATGAGGCAATTTGGCAAAAATGAGTTTTTCTCTGAGGTCGAGATAAACTATATTTCTCTTAAGTGGCATGTTTACATAGTGCACAATATGTTAATATATATGTTTTCTGATGAGAAAGGAAACAAACACGTGTGTGTATCATGATACACTCATGTATCTACGTTCCGAAAAGAATGACGTGTTTTAACACTTTGGCTGCTGAAAAGCAACGTCCTTGCCCTCTGACGTGGCTGGTGGTGGGGGGGGTCTCGAACCGGAAGAAAAAGTTTGGAGAGAAACCATTATCTCAATCCATGTCTGGAGTTTGGTTCCTTCACGACAGCTTCCTTCCACCGCTGGTCTTTGAGGTTTATTTGATAGAAGTGCTTATGTGTTGATAATTAAGGCATTTAATTGGAGGAATAATTTGAGAGAATATTTATTGTAGGAAGTATTTGGAAGCCAAATGAGAGGGAAATAACCCTAGCTGTTCAATTTAACACCAATCAGGTAGTGTCTTTTTTAAAATCCAAATCCACCAAAACCCGAAACAAAGGAAAAAGTCAATTAATTAATCCAATAGACCTGTAAACCGATTGAATGATTAGGAACCCTTGTTAATCAACCGCAACGTGTTTACGCTGTTCTCTGGTGGCTGTTTGTACTTGAAGACTAAAAGCATTAATTTATCACGTGCATCAAAGAAGAGCTTGGCGATGCCTTGCCCGGCTGGTGACAATGTGCTAACACACCAATAACACACGGGTCCGTGAGGTGGGATGACCGGCGTTGCATGGAGACACGGCTCCTTCCCCCACTTTGATTCTGAATGTTGGCTTGATGTCCTGTATTATTTGCATGAAATGTTACCTAAGAATTATCCCCTAACTGAGAAGACTGGGGGGGTGGTTGAAGCATGTCCGGCCGCGGGGCTAACTGAGCTAACCAGTCTACATTTACCTTTTAACAGTAGCTGACGAGACTAAACTCAGTACAGCGGGTGACCAGAAAGCAGGTAAGAACGGGCAGCCAGACTGTTGCCGTAGAAACCGTGGTCCAAGGAGCTGCCAGTCATACTCACGTAAACATAACCATTCCGGCTTGCTCCGACGTTCCCGTGGTCGGAAATCAAATCGCACAAGCCGAGGAAAATTTTTGGTGAGGAGAAATTTATCAGCCTGATACATACTAAATGGAAATGTGCTTTAGTGCTTCCAAGATGCTAGAGCACCTAGAGTTTCTTAATTATGTTTGTGGGGGGCTGTTTTGTCACACGTAAAACTGATCAAATTACCCAACACGTGGTTTCTTATGGGAGACTTTTTTTTTTGAAGTCCTCTACCCCGTGCCTAGGTTAACACCCAAGAAATGATTCTCAGGGTGGTGATTTGATTTGAAGGACAACAGCACAAAGATAGATATTTCCCATGAAGGACAGAGTCCAGCGTTGCTGTTACTGGTCACTCAGAACACCTTAGCTCTCTTTCAGATGAAGCGTTAGTTCCTGGTCACCTGACATTTAGTTCTATCTATAGCACATCCTTATCTTAACTTTGTGACTTTAAAGGTTTTTGGTGTTTTGTTGTGTTTTGTTTCTGAACTACTTAGGGCTGGCTTCTAAAATGCTGCCTGAAAAATTCCATGGAAATAATGAATTATGTTGACCTGGGTTTTACATTATAGTAGATTTTTCTTACTCTGTTATTTTATGAAAATAATCAGACGAAAGTATGTGTGACGAAAGTTAATGTGCTTTGTATAGTTGAGCACGTGTGATTTATTGTTGTAAGTCTGAAGGCGTGTTGTAGTTACTCTAGATCTGATGTGGTGCAGTTGCCCCACTTAGCACTAATGAGCATCAATTCACCTTCGTAACCTGCAGTAGGAATTAGTTTTAGGCTTCTTGCAAAATGTGTATCCCACATGCATATGTACAGATGGCTGTGGGCATGGTTGGAGTTTTCCCATTCTGTAAAGACAGATTATAAAAATTACATCCAATAAATCACTGGATTAACTATAGTGCAGTGCCATTAACAATAGACCCAGCGCTCATTAAGAAGCTATTTCTTTTATCAAACAGAAAATTCATTGAAATTCTGTTAAGAGAGCTAAAGAAAAATGCCATTTGATAGTTCACATATGCAAATTAGTCGTTAGTTTTTAGAGCTAATAGTCTTCAGTACTTTTAAAGAAGTAACCCCAATCCAAGTTGATGTTCATAAAAACCAAGCTGAGCTGCTCAGGTCAAAGAACATGACTTTATATACTGTGCCAATTAGGTAAAGTAAGGAAAGTATTTAATTTAACCCACTCACTATTACTAACAGGAAAAGAACAATTTATTGGGATTTAAAAAAATAATAATGATGCCCAGATTTCAACTGAAGACATGAAGTAACTTTCCTGGTGACGAGGTAGATTTTATAATCTAATTGAGTCATGTGTTTTTATGGTTTTTTTAAAGTGTTAGATCCTAGATAGAAACACCATTTGGGGTACTAGGTGCAATCTGTCCTCCCCAATTAAACTAGAAGGACTCGGGACAAAAATTATTACATGGACGTCAAAGTACTTTTGGGTCTATTGGTTTTAAATCTGCAGTGAATAAAATGTCAAACTCCACCCTTCTCACCCTCCAGGGTTGGACACTGAACACACTGTCGGTTATTTTTCTTTCTTCACTTCACTTGAATTGTTAAGATTGTCATGGTTTTACAGTGTAGGCCGAAGGCTTTTGGTCTCGTCGCAGTGGCCTCTGAGTGCAGATCGTCTGTCCAGCCATAAGCCTTTCAAAATGAAAACTCAATTCCATTTCCGTTTGCCCTTGCAAAAGACTTCCTCTGCTTTTTTTCGATGAGAGAAGTATTACTGGGTAGAAGAAAAATAGACCTAAGGAAAATGGTATGATTACGATTTCTGCCTTTATTCCTGGATTTAGGGATTTGGGGGGTAAATTTACTTCCTACCAGAAGAGAGGACAGGAACGAGAGAATGGGGTTTCTAACCAGGTTAATCCTTGAGTATAAAAAATACACAAAGTATCCTAATGACCTGAAAGGTTGTATATAGAGCCTCAAAATATTATTTTAGAATTAAAAGACATTGATTTGTGTGTGTGTGTGTGTAACTAAAACTAATCTTTTGCCTGTACTTTGTATAGTGAAAGACATTTTCAATTTTTGTAACTGGTAAATGATAAAGTTTATAATGTTAGGAATCTCAGTAACCCTCATTCAGGAATCCTCACAATATATTACTTCACAAAATCTTTGTTCCATTTCTTTGACAAATAGGTTATTTACATGTAGGTGATCCCTGTTAGAGTGAGAGGCAGCAAGCTCTGTATGGGACCAGGTAGTGAATGCTGTGGGTCTCGCAGAGCAGACAGTGTCTGGAGCAATTACTTCATTCTGGTGTCATGTGAAGGCAGCCCTGGTGAACATGTAAACAGGTGGACGTGGCTATGTTCCAGTAAAGTCGTCCAGATTTGGCCCATGGTTTGCTGATCTCTGTTACAGATTCACAAGTTATGGATGTTAGGAATATTTCAGCCATGCGTCAGTATGGACTGTATTTCATTGACCTCCAGCATGCCCAGCGCCCAGCGTCTATTGTTTCCCATGTTTTGCCAGAATGTTATAGTACAGAGTTACGAATTTAGAGAAAAGAGTAGATGGGTGAGCTCTCAGCTACATTCACAAAATAGCTACTGCTTATTTAGTTACACTTTCATCATTTTTGTCCCCAGATTTGCGTGGGTTTCTGTGTTTTAATAAGTACACACATGCACTGCTATACACATATATCCATATTTATACACATGTATATGGACATACACATTCATTGCAATAAATACTCATGCCATTTCTGGAATTCGTGATGGAAGTTTTTAGTGCTCCGAGTACATTAAGTCAGATCTCAGCTAACTGCATGTGTAAATAATGCATTTATGATCGTCTTTCCTAGCAGCATCAGATCTTTATTGGAGACACATACATAAATACAGACACACACATGCGTGCATACACAGATAATACACACGCGTCCTTGATGAACCCAAGAAAGCACCAGATATCTGCCTTAAGAGTGTTTCTAGAACCCAGATGGAGCTGGTGAGCTATGAAAATTGAGAGGCACAGTTTATTCAGAAAAAGGTCTTCCCAGTGCTAATTCTAGAAAACGTGAACGTAAATGCCTCTGCCCAGACTCAGCTTCCCCCATTCGCTGTGATTTCTCACTTTTTATTTAGTTCTTTGAAACAAAAACTCATTTTCCTTCCAGTGACATGGCTTTTGTGGGTATTTAAAACATGACCTTGTCAAAAATCGTAGTGCTATCAAGGGAGAAACGTAAGATTGATCTGGAGAGAAATATTGCGTGTGACTTTTTGTCATAAAATAAATAATCGATTATATACAAACCAGCATTAAATAAATCATCTTTTTCTCCCAAGCAGAGTAATTTATGGAATATTAGTTCTTCATTAGAACCACCTGGATGCCTTTCTGCCCATGCTACATTTTTAACATATTTACTCTGACTTAAAACTGCTGCCCCATTTTAAAGATAAGCTGAAAGATGTCATGTAAATGAATCTTAAAAAAGATGGTTCCTGTTTTGACCCTCTCAGTTGAATTTTCATTCTGTTTTACACTCTGAGCCGTGGAAGCCCACGTCATAAGTATCTGTCTTCTAGGCGGTGACGTACCAGGCTGCTCCTTAATTATTGGTCAGCATATGGGCTGACGGCCCCACGTAGAGAAGACCTGCCCAGCCTCACCTGCCCTTCCTTTTTTTGCACCTGCCACTTTAACAGTCTAAGTAGAGAAGTCGTTCTGTAGCCTGGGTTGCCCAGCTGGTGGGTGCTGGTTTTTCACTCATCCCGACGCCAAATTCATCTACCTGTGAGTGCGAGGTCAGCAGTGAGGGACGTGGCTGTCTCACCTGGTTAAAGAAATCCATTTTAAATTTCTTCTGTAGAGCACAGGGAACTATGTTCAGTATCTCGTAGTAACCTTTAATGAAAAAGAATATGAAAACGATTCTATGTATGTATATGCATGACTGGGACGCTGTGCTGCACACTAGAAATGAACACATTGTAACTGACGGTACTTCAGTTTAAAAAAGAGTCATTTTAAAGTCCGGTATAATATTTTAAAATATAATATATATCATTCTACATGTAAATCTTTAATTTGCATATCACCAAAACAAAATCTGCTTGAGAGTATCATATCTTAATTTACATGAGATTAATCTCTGTGGACTACCGATGAATAAATTGGAATTTAAAATTAAAACAAGAAAAAAAAGAAATCCATTTCAATTGCGCCCTGAAGCCTGGTGCGGTCAGGTCCTCCAGGAGCCGAGCCCCGGCTCTGATCCCCCGGAGGTCCCCTGCCGTCCACCCTGCTGCAGTCTTCACGGTCCCTGCTGGTCCTCCTCCTACTCCTCCCCTGTTTCTCAAGCAGACGTTGTTCACAGGCCTCGGGGTCTAATCCTCGTCCAACTCTCCTCTGTCCTCCTGTGCTTCTCCCTGGAGACAGTCCCTACATAGTTTCTGTTTTTCTTTCTTTTTCTTTTCTTTTTTTTTAATTGCAGTACCGTTGATTTACAGTGTCCTGTTAGTTTCTGGTGAGCGGGTCGTGATTCAGATACAAGCTACTCACCCGGTGTCTTCCTAGTCACATCTTGTGTTGCTCTTCCTAGAGAACACGCCCGTTTTCCAGAATTAGGTTCCAGCTGGCGCCAGGGTGCCCTGATTTTGTTGGGGACAGGTGGTTTCTTGTGCTTTTCTCACTTGCTGAGTTGGGTGAACCCCAGCATAATGAAGAAGATACCCAATGAAGCTTGTTGAGATCAAAGTTTACCTTCTGTTGTCAGTAACTTTAAACTGTCAAAAAACGGTTTTAGCCAATCTTCCCCTGGTCGGTTCCCTCAGCCTTTCTTCCTCTCTGCTCTTTAGACTAGCCTCTGGGTTATTCTGGGTCTTTCAGATTATTGACACAACTCGGAGAAAATGATTTGACAAAGATTTCACCTGTTGACCCATAAATGGATGCTAATAGATTTCTTCCTATAGAGAAGATAGACCACATTTAATGAACATTTGGGGAAAATTAAAATGAGAGGCTGTCCCTTCCCTTTGTATGTCTTGCCATCCACAGTCCAGAAGTGGACACTGAGCAGACAGTTGGTTTATGTCCGTGGCGTTTCCCACAGCGCGTGGCTTCTTGGGCACATCATCTTCACCACTGACTCTAACGACACTCTGTCTTTGCACACCTCCAAGGCTCCCCCAGCCGAGACGTGGGGCCGTCCCTGGGTCTGAAGAAGTCGAGCTCTTTAGAGAGTCTGCAGACGGCGGTCGCCGAGGTGACTCTGAACGGGGACATCCCTTTCCACCGCCCACGGCCGAGGATCATCCGAGGAAGGGGGTGCAACGAGAGCTTCCGAGCTGCCATCGACAAGTCCTACGACAAACCTGCTGTGGACGACGATGACGAAGGCATGGAGACGTGTAAGTGCCCGGTGTCCGAAAGAACGGCCACTGCGTGCAGCTCTGCAGAGCAGCGGCTCTTCAGGTGTGCTCCGGGGAACCCTGTGGGTTCCCGGTGCCCTGCAGAGGGATCTCTGAGGTCGAAACCATCTTCATTAAGAAGACAATGGTATTTACCTTTTTCACTTTTACTCTCTTCCAAGTGTACGGTTGGGTTTTCTAGAGGCGATCTGTCCCGTGATTCCGCAGTGGACTGAATGCAGAGCAGATAGAACCTTCCCAGCTCGATGGTAAAGAGATTTGCTAAAATTTAACACAGGGCCATTATCCTCATGAATTGTTTTTGGAAAATACAAGACTTTTTTTTTGGTAAAGTATGTTTTCTGTCACTATGAAATTTGTTATTTTTTACAAAATAATTCATATTTTTAAACTCAGTTTTAATGCAGTATATATTGTTAGATATAATCCACATAGAAATTTTCTTTTGAGTCTTGAATAAATTTTAGGAGTGTCAAGCATCCTGAGAAGCAGAATGTCTGAAAGCCACTGCTGTGCAGTGTCTGTAATACTGGATCTCAAGCGAACACGTGTTGTCATCTGTGATTTTGAAAACATACATTTGTTTTGTTTCTGTGAATTACTTTTGCTTTCCCTGAACTGAGCTAGCAAGATGTTTGTGTCTGTGTGTGTTTCCAAATTGCAAAATATTTTAAGCCAAAATTATCGAAAGTCAGAGGTTGCAGTGAAGAAGCAGTGTGTTCTCCGTAGTCTGCTGAGAGGAAAGCGACGTTTATAAGAACGTACAAACGTCCGCTTCGGGGAGTTGTCGTTACAGTTAAGCTTTCATGGTGTGAGAGTAGCCATTTGATTTAAATCTAAGGAAGAAACTCCACAGTGTATCTGCTTAGAAGGGAGAGAACTTGAGTCCTGATGGTGAAGATCACGGACTAGCTCATACTGCTCCTTAATGCTAATTCATGTTTCAGTCGTTTGACTTCCGAGTGACTATGCCCTTCCAGCTGTCGGCCCTGAAGCTGGGGCCACCGCCCAGAGTTAAAGCAGAGAGCGTTCCAGTGAGTCATGGTCGACTTTGGGTTTAACTTTGGGGGGACACACATCCCTAAGAAAGATTGTGGGGCGGAAGGAGGGTTTTAAGTGAAAGCCACATTCGCAGGAGACTCACAGCAGGCTGTGTCATCTCGGCCTGGCGCACGGCGTGCTCTTGGCAGGATGAGCATTCCTGCCATAGTGAAACAGGCAAAGCCCAACCTGGGAGAGGGCGGCTCCACCCTCCCCCGTCCCCTCCTCATTCTCTGTCTAAATCTGGACAGGTTTTCACTCCCTCCAGCCTGTGATTTCAAATATATGCAGTCGATTCTTGCCAGATGAAGAACATATTTCCTATTTTTGCTGCCAAGCCTGGTCTCCGAGATCCTGAGTCATATGGGCTCCCAGCCGTTGGGTTTTTCCCAGCGTGTCCGCAGTTCCCTGCCATCCTGACCAGTACCTCCTAGGTGGGGCCCCTCCCATTGCTTGGAGATCTCGCCCCTGTCCTGGGTGTATAGCTAACAAGAGACTTCGTACTTGGGCACCTGAATATTTGTTTTTTTAATCATTTACAAGTTAAGATGCTTCCGAACTTTTTTCTTATTCTGGTTGAAATGTTATTTAAATTCCTGCATAAAATGCAGTTTCCTTACATATATCACTTATCTCCCACGCAGCAGAGGCTGGGGTAGATAGCAGTTCAGGGCATGTTCTTAATTCTGTGGCTTCCAGACCTCCTCACTGGTGTGGATGTCTAAGTCTGTCCCTATATAAACTTAGTGTCCGTTTTTATTTGGAAATAATTAATTTAAGTATTTTATTTGAAAAATTTTGTGTTCAGCAATCATCAAGGCAAAAACAAGTAACTAGACAAACTACAACTGGTGAACTGGAGGGAAAGTTCTGGACAAGAGCTGGGAGAGACGTGACCCAGGTCCCTGCCACCACAAAGTGCTGAGTTTTCCAAAAGTCCTGATTTTGTGATGTCTTTCTTCAGACTGATCTTTGAACTTTGACTATGGTGGAAGAAAGGCAACCCAATTGTACAGTTCAGATGCTGACAGGGCTTTTGCAGCTGGACGAGCAGTGTGGCAGGAGCAGGGGTGCGGTCCGATGACTCCCGTCCAGTTCTTTTCACTAGTTTGTAGGGTTTGGGTGAAGTTGCTTAAAAGCCTTAGGCTTTAATCCCCTCAGTTGTAAAACTGAAGACTCGGATGCCGAGGTCATTGATTCTCAGGTTGCGTGTTGTGCGTCTGGGATGGGGGGGGCTCGGGGGCTTGGGGGAGTTGGGGAGCACATGGGAGGCCAAGCCCAGGGGACTGCAAGGCCACCTGCTCCCTGCTGTCACTCCAGTGGCTGTGTGCGTTTTAAATCACTTTTTGAACATGGTGCTTCTCCGTAAATTTAAATTTTTAAAAAGGGAAGGTCGCAGTTTTTCAGATGGCGTTTGAAAAGCTCGGGTGTGGATGACTTCCTTTCTGCAGTCCCGCACAGGTTTAGCGTCTCCTGGCTCTGCGGCCCGGTCACGGGCCGGCCACAGCCCTGCCTGCTTCTCTGGGAAGCCCGGGAAGAAAGACGCCACCAACCTCGCTCCCGCAGGCCCGGGCTTGGGGCCGGGCGAGTGTGGGAGTCAGGGATGTTGTCACGTCAGTGGGTAGCCCTGCGTAGCCAGCAGCGCTGCGTGCACAGAGACAGGCAGCGAGTCCCTGGGTCTGCAGCGACTCGTCCCTCCTCCTCTGTGTCCCGCACTGGACCTGCGTGGCCGAGACCTCCAGTGCCTCCGCAAACCCTTTGTTTTCTTTAAAAAAAAATCTGTCAAGGCTGATGTCACTGCTGGTGGTCATGGGACCGTCTCCTTTACGTAGGACTAAGCACAGCTGTGAGAAAGGAGCTCCTCCTCCAGTTCCCTCAGCACCATCCTTTCCAGAGACTGACAGTTCTCACCGTGTGGTCCACACGGCCTGTGCCACTGTCCGCCGAGTTCCTGTTTCTGCTTGTGCCCCTGCATCCTCATCTCTGCATCCTCACCTGTGCACCCGCCCCCGCGCACCCCCGCCCCCGCATTCCCACTCCCGCATCCGCGCCATGTGGGCACTGTCCCTGGCGGCATGTCTCAGCCCTGCTGTCCTCATGCTCTGAGGGACCCCGGAGCTGGGGGGCTTTCTCGTATGGAGGTGGGACTCAGTGGTGGCTGCCGGTTGAAGTGAAGATGCGTGTCCCTGTTGAGGGCTGCTCTGCAAAGAGGAGCCTGTCCGAGCAGTCTTTGTTAGACGGCCGTCTGGTGAGGATGCAGTCGGTGCAGCCTAGAAACGTGCGGGGCATGGGGGGGATTACCTGTGCTGTTCCAGCCGCCTGTTTCTGTCCCACACAGCCCTCGGCCCCTTTCCAGGGCAGCCCTGGGGGGAGGTAGGCTGGTGGCTCTTGGCTGTGCTCCTCCCTGTGGCTGGGAACAGGCTTGCCCTCTCGGCAGCTTTGAACTCACGGCACAAGCACAGTGATGTGGCCAAGAGACGGGCGGATCCACATGCGGTCTGGTACCTGTCATCTCCTGTAAGACTGACGGTCCACCCGCGGAGGTGGCAGAAGCCAGCGTTTTTGTCTCTCATTTAATCCATCTGGCCTCTCCATGTTGCGTGTCTGTCTGGATCAAGAGCTTTGTATTCTGGGACCCATTATCTCCGAGGCCCTACCTGTGTTTGACAGGTCAGGGCATCCACAATCTGCTCCCTCTTCTATGCAAATCACACGCCCCGCCTGGCTCCCAGCGAGCAGCGCCTGCTTCCCCCATGATAAATCAGCGTCCGTTGCTGCCAAGACCATGGATGCTGAATAACTTTGCTTTGTTTTGTTTTTGAAAATAGCCCCGTTTTCGTCCCTCAATTAAAAGTTTCCAAATCGTAAGCTTCACTCTCAGTCCAGTAACAGCTTTTGGTTGGGGTCAAGGGGAACGACAGAGCCGAGTGCCATCCTGCTCACGGCACCTCTCAGTGTTAAGATCTGCCCGGTTTACTGCTTTAAATGTGAGAGCTGGACGCCTTGAAAGCAGGGAGGGGTTACTTTTGAGTAGCTTGCCTGCTTTCTTAGAGAACTCTTAACAGGGGCCAGAAAAGAGCATTGCTTTATATTTGTAGTTGCTTTGTGGTTAATTCAGGTTAGCAGTGTGAGGTCTGAGGAAACTGAATGTGTGTTAGTGAAGCAGCTCATCTGAGAGCTTCCAGGGGAAGTTTGGTTTATTTTATGAGCTTCAAGGTAGCACATTGCGTGGATGGCTCAGACTTTGCACTCTCGCATCCTGCACACTTCTCACACCTTTTATGGGTACTGATTTGAGCAAAAATAATGCAAACTAGGTCTAATTGTACCTTAAGAAGCCACATTAGATTTCCTTAAATCTGTAGAGGATGAGTTCAGGATGTGAGTTTCAAAATCACAGAGCACTTTGGAGAAGGTTCCCCATTTGGTTAATCTGTCTTAATGGCTAGTTGGGTGTTGATCTATAAGAAATACTTATTCTGAATTGCTAAGAATTAGAATAACCTGTTGTATTTTTTTTTAAGGGAGGTACTGGGAATTGAACCCAGGACCTTGTGCATGCTAAGCACGTGCTCTGCCCCTGAGCTGCACCCTCCCTCCCTCCCTCCAAGAATAATCTGTCTTATCCTCTTAGGCCAACTTGTATACTTTAGTATCACTTGCAGCTTAGGAAAAGGAGCCTTAATTTTAGGAGGTTTCTGAATGCAGCAGGGGTGGACGCATGGGGAGGGGCCCAGAGTCTGTTCCTGGTACTTCTTTTTCTAGGAGAAATGTAAGTTAAGCTGAAAGTATGATGAAAAGTCACATCTGAAGTGTTTGAATTATAGAGTCCTCATTTTAAGCATTTTTTGATAGGGAAGAAGTGTGTAACAGTAGGACCAAGATCATCCTTGGAAACTGAACCGCAAGTGCGTGCGCTCTGATATGCAGCCCTGTGA